TTAGTTCCATCAAGGAGAAACCTGAGTTACTTTTCTATAATGAAATAAAAAAAATAGATTTATTACTCATTAGATATTAAGACAAAGAATAAAATTATTGGAAACATTTTGCTTATTTAGCTCATACATAATATGGTCCGTAAGGGTTCACAAAATATACGTTTTAAAAAAATCAATATATCAATTTTACATTTAATGTATCTAATGATAAGCTTTTTTTACTAAAATAGTATCTCCTTTATTTTGAATTTTTAAGATGTGCATTAAACGAGCTTGTAATGATCAAATTTTTAATTATTAAAATATTTGATGCCCCCACTCATGTGTGTATTTGAGAATTCGTGTTATCACAACACAAAAAGTTTGTACTACTGGAGTAAATTGTTGTTTATTGCCATCATGGAGAAACCTAAGTTACTTTTCTGTAATGAAATATAAAAATAGATTTATTATTTATTAGAGATTAAGACGAAAAGAATAAAATTAATGGAAACATTTGGTATATTTAGCTTATATATAATATGGTCGTGAGGGTTCACATAAATATATATTTTTAAAAAATAAGATAGATCAATTTTATATTTAATTTATGTAATGATAAATTTTTATTATTAAAATAATGTCTCCTTTATTTTTTTATTTTAAGATGTGCATTAAATGTATGTAATGATCAAATTTTTAATTAATAAAATATTGGATGCCCTCACTCGTGTGTGTATTTTAGAATAAATGTTAGCACAACACAAACAGTTTGTGCTATTGATGGAGTAAATTGTTGTTTAGTACTATAAAGGACAAACCTGAATTACTCTTTTATAATAAAATCTAAAATTAGATTTATTGTTTATTAGAGATTAAGATGAAAAAGTTTAATTACTCTTTTATAATAAAATCTAAAATTAGATTTATTGTTTATTAGAGATTAAGATGAAAAAGTTTAAGTTATAGAAAACATTTGGTTTATTTAACTTTTACATAATATGGTTTTGTGGGTTCACATGGAATATGAATACTTAAAGTTTTTTTAATGATATCCTTTATGCCCATCATTTCCCTTTTCATATCACGTGAACTTTTTAATGCATATCTAGCATTTAATGCTATCAATTCAAAATATATATTTGTTTGTTGGGGATGAAAAAAAGGGAAATTCAAACCTTTTTGAGAAAGTACTTTGAATGGAGCTCGATCATCTCCAAATAAGAATGTGGCCTTTTTTAGATGGGGGTACGACTCAACCTTAAGTGGAATCTCATTCTTATTGTGGATGGGAGTACGATCGTAATGAATTTTGGAGCACGGTCCCATTTTACATGGAACGTGTTCTCATTAAATAAGGATCTCGATCCAAATGTATCGAGAAATCTCTCCCTATTCAAACAGGATCTTGATCCGTTTTTTTTACCCTCCGGAACTCTCTTCCTAAGCTCTAAAACTTTGGGCAGCCATTGATCTGATGTTGCCTCTCCCGAAACTGGAGCCGATCCCGCTTCCGGTAACTATGGGGTTGAAAAGACTGTTGGTATATTTTGGAAAGATGCATGGTGCTTTTACAGTATTTGATTGAAAAAGTACGCACTCTTTTTTGGAGAGATAATTGCAAACTCAAAAAGTTTATCACTAATATCTCATTTTATAGGAGCTACACAAGTTACATCCACATATTACTATTATCTCATTACATGGTGCCTATTTATAAGTATTTACCTAGCAGCTTTCAAACTACCCACAAGCCCACGTGACTCAAACTACCCACAAACATAACTTCTAGATAACTACCCACTAACATGGAGTAATTATTTGATAACTCCCCACAATAGGTAACTACCCAATGACACCCATTAACATAAAGAGATACCCATAACTGATAACTATATTAGACACATACCACATGTTCTTAATTTTTGCATCACACGTCCTAAATTTTTTCATCATTTTCAACATGTAGGATCTTAATAAATTGTGGCTCTCATATCTTCCCACTATTGATCTTATTTTCCTTGTCCTTTCTGCTCATCTTGAAATATTACATTCTTAAAGTATTCAAAGCCCATCATTGCTGAAAATTACAATTACCTGTGTTTCAGGACTCAGCCAAGTCCATTCATACTTTGTCTGAGCACCCCTAAGTTGTGTGTACAGCTAGATGATACAGAAAAAAAAAAAAGAAAAATCTTAATAATCATTAAAAAATCCTTAAAAAAGAAAAGAAAAATCTTAATAATCGATAAAAAATCCTTTCTCACTCTCTTTAATCCCTTCTTACCCTCTACCCCTCCCCCCCTAACTTCATTCCCGAACAACTATTTTCAACCTCATCTACCCTTTTCCAACAAGAATAAAGAGAGCTTCATGCCCATATATACTCCTGTTAAGGGAAGTGTTCTTCTTGGGGGAGAGAGACCATGTAATTTGTTCTGCGGAATCATCCTCTTCGTGGAGGGAGACCGTAATTGGAGAGAAGCCATGGAAGTAGAGAAAGATGTGCCATGCCTACAATTAGAGTTGGAAGAAGGGATGGGGAGAGAGAGATGTTGTGGAGAGAGCTAGGTGGGTGCATGGGGAAAGGGGAGACACATGTCTCATGCAATTTCCTTGCTTGCCATGCATTTATTTCTGCTTCCTTGTACTACCGTGCCATCAAGATTCTTCTTCTTTGGGCCCGGACTATAATTTTTTGTCTTTTTGTTTTCTTATTTTCCTTTAAGTGCCTGCACCGGCTATTAGCGGAATTCAGCCGAACTAGGATCAGCCGAACCCAGGCCCGGCCCATTGCCACCCGTGATTAAAATGTCTGCTATGCGTCATGTAATAGATATCTGCTATGCGGAATGTAATAGATACAATTTTCTTGTCATAATAGTATGGCTTAAAAATAGGCCGTTATTACCTTGAAAGACACATCCATGATATTTTTAATTTTTGTCATTTTGCCCCCGGTCCGATGTTTGACACATTGAACCGCTTTATTTGTCACCTCGAAAATATGTTCTCTTTTTTTTTGGGGTAAATTAGAGGGGGAGAACCCCTCTTCCCGGTTTTCAATAATCCAAGATAAAAAAAATTACATCATAGTATTTTACAACCCTACAATAGGGCAATTGAGCTTCATAGTATTTTACAACCCTACAATAGGGCAATTGAGCTTCATCATTAAAAGATGAAGTTCTACCTCTCTTCTCTCTCTGTCCTCTCTCTTTCCCTTTTAAAAAAACTCATTCTGTCTCTCTCCTATCTCGGGCAAGGATATGAGTGACAGAGAGTCACCAAACCAGATTGTGGGAGAACCATTCAAAACAGGGTTGAAGAACAAAGGTAGCGGAGAAACCTGCAAAACTACAAAGGATGTAAAACAAGGATGATTGATGGTCTTATGTAAATCCCATCTTTTACAAAACAAGGATCAACAGTCTAGATGACGCAAATCCCATAGAAGAGTTTGCAGCAGTTACGCTGCTCGAAACCCTAACTGAGGTGTGAGCTTTTCAATGCAACTGTTTTTCAACCCTTTATGCTTCACCAAAACCTTTCCAATGAGTTCTAGAAGCCTCAGAGTCTAGTTTTGATGAAAAATCTCGAAAACTATATCCTCAATAGTCATTGTCGTAGCCTTCTTATTTTTAGAATTCACTATGATAGTTTCATGCTTTTCTTTTCTTTGGAGGCAAGAACTAACTTCCTCTAGGTATTCCAGAGTGTAGTCATTCTGATGAAATCATATCCAGTGGTTTTCAGTCTCGTGAATTGGCTGACTTACCATGGAGCCATCCAATGGCTGCAGTTTCTTGAAAGAGAGAAATACAGAGAGGACAGAGACAGAAGAGAGAGACAATAGCAGATGTTTGAGGGGATAAATAAAGCAGTTTGATGTTTCAATATTGAACATGGAACAAAATTGAAAAAAAATAAAAAAAATCATAGTTGTGTCCTTACAAGTAATGATATCCTATTTTCAAACCATACCATTATAATGGTAAAAAAAACTGATCCATATGGAAATTTCCGAAAACTTAAAAGCCAGGCCACAACAGGAAGGATCTTGAAGGCACGGCCAGTACAAAGAAGCAGAGACTGGCGTGTCTCTCCTTTGTCCATGTACCCACCTAACCCTCTCCACACCATCCCTCTCTCTTTCCCCTCCCTTCTTTCATCTCAAACCACAGGCATGGCACATCTCTCTCTCTAGAGGATGACTCTGCCCAATAGATTTCCATGGTGTCTCTCCCCCAAGAAGATAACTTCCCGGAACAGGAATCTTTTATGGGAATGAAGCCTCTGTTTATTCTTGTTGGAAATTTTGAATCCCAATGGCAACGAATGCTGGAAAAGGATAGATGGGATGGAAAATAATTGTTCGGAAAAGATGTTTGAGAGAGAAAGAGGGTGGTAGAAAAGGGGAACTTCGGGGGCCGGGTTAGAGAGAGTGACATAGGATTTTTATTTGTTTTTTAATTTTTTTGAGTTTTTAATTGTTATTATTCTTTTTTTAATGTATCCCCGAGCTGTACACAACTCGATGGGTACTCGGCCAAAGACTGATTGGACTTGGTCGAGTCCCGATACACTACACTGGTAATTGTGCTTTTCAGCAACCATGAGCTTTGAATACTTCAAAAGGTAATAATTCAAGATGGGAAAAGTGGACAAGGAAACTAAGATTGGTCGAGGGAAGCTAGCTATACTTTATGAAGACCTTGCTTGCATCGTTATTATTTCAACATCCAAGTAGATGATTAGTTATTTTCATAAAGGTAGCCTAAGTTATTTTGACTGCATCTTCGGATCATGGGGAATTAAATAGACACCCAAACGATGTGGGTATCAGGTAAGAAATGGCAAGCATAACTGTGTTGATCCGACTTTTCGCCCATGGGGAGAGCTTGATACCAGGTTGAAAATGGTTGCCAATCGATAGTGTCAGAATGGCACCCCGCAATCGCGTCCACCGTGCTTCCATCTTCCCCTTTCAACTTCACCTGGTAGATTCTTCCTTCTCCGATTTAGTGGCAATAGTACCCAGCATAAGGATAAGGCATGTTATGGCACAATGTGGAGCTTGCCTTAGTAGGCACTGTCTGCACTTTCGTTGCAGTATAAGCTTGGAGCACAGAATCCTTGTTGATACAAGTGCGGAGGAACGTAATGTTAGGGTCCTGAACAGAGGGGGTAGCGTAATCTATCATGGCCTCTAAAGATGTGAGGCATTTCTCCAGGGCTTCCAATAATTCGCACCATGTTAGGGTAACACCAACTTCTACGGCCTCACTAGAAGCAGGAGGAAACGAAAAGTGCTGTAAGATGCGTGGGAGCTCAGCAGACGAGAAAGGTATGGCATCTGCATCCTCACGAGAAAGGAAAGGAGAGGCACAGCTGAATTCCGACTTGCGAAAGTAGAGAATTTTGTTCATTCCAATTTTGAGGTCCTTTTCTAAGAAGAGGGTGGTTTCTCGTGGATCGCGATTCTCTTGAGAAACGTCGGAGTATAGGAAGCGAGGGTCATGATTGCCCGAACCCATACACAGCAGTCCTGATGGCACGGGGCGAAAGCGGGCGCGAATAGCATCAGGCATTGGAGTGTTGGGGAGTGCCTGGGCCCAGTACCTCTCTAGTGTCGCCGCAACATGGTAATGGCTAACCCTTGCCTACATGCAACATTTAACAAGTGAGTGAAGATCAGGACTCCCGCTATTGGAAAAACTTTCCATATCTGAAGGATTACTGCTTGTTATCTTTTGTTTTTTTTGGGTAATTAGATTATTACTGATGAGAAGTGAAAAACATTTATACGCATAAAGTGTATCCACTCAAAAGCTCGCCATTTTTGTGCTAAGTGGAGGCACAACAATTACTGATACTTGATAATTAGTGCACTTTTGGTAACGTCGAAAGTATTTTTATATAAAAAAACTCCCTCATAGAAGTTTTTACACATCGTAGCAATCAATTGTGTGAAACAACTCTTACATTTAATCACATAGGATAGTTCTTTCATGTAAAAATACTTTTACAAAAACATTTATAAGCCTACAAAATGTGCCCATTAAGAGAGCAATGGGAATAGATATTAGTAGATGTCCCATAGTGTATAGTACACAACATGCTTTTTTTCAAAAGATTTTGTGAATGCTGTGACAACATATCAGAAAGAGAAGTAGGGCAAATGGTAGATGGAGCCTCCCCATGATTATACAAAAGCAAAAAGGATGGTGGTTTTGTATTGTGGTGGAGTGAGGGATTCCATTTATACAGGAGGGGTATATTAAACATAGGCAATGTGCCATAGAGAGAGAAAGCTTGTTCAGTGCATGTTGGACATGCGGCCATTGACCTCTCTCTCTCTAACGTGGTGAATCCAATGGTTGGTACGAGAACTGCTTTCCAAGTATGCAAATAAGCCATGATCCAACGATCATTAAAAGGAGTGGTGCATGGGGATCTTCGCTGACCAATGAAACGACGACTTCTCTCTTCAAGATTTTGAAGTTGGTGAGTGTAGTAAATTTTGGATGCTACATTACAAATAACGTAGTAAAAAACTTTATGTTGATTCATTGGAATAAGCACAAAATAAATGATTTCATTGAAAAATATGTTAATGGAATGGGATCAATGAAGCCTAGTTATTAGATGTGAAACTGGACGACTTGAATTGTGTAATAAAGTTTAAAAAAATTTATTTTGGACTTTATATCTAGTAATACATTCGGCCACCCAATTCCACTGCTAGCGATTAACAATATTTTTGACCTCGTTGTTCAAAAAGAACAGTTGGAAATGTGGACTCGGACTGACTACTCCGCCTATGCCCCAACCGAGTACTAGTCCAGTCTGAGTAACTCGGCCCAAGTACGTATGAGTAGTGTACCATCCGAAAATTATTAAAAGATAAAAAACTATAAAAATATAAAAAATAGGAAAAATATATTTAAATAAAATGTAACAAAATAAACTAATTTTTGCTTAAAAAGCAACAAAAAATAGATTTTAAAAAATGAGTTTATGATCGGGGGCATTTTTTGAAATTTTATAAAAAATATGGAAAAACGTAAAAATCGGCATTCATGGCCAAAATACTTTCATATCTTTTCAAAATGATAGAAACTATAAATAAAGGTATGACAAATATATTTCTTATTTTTTTAGGACTTTTTATAGAAAAAAGCATATATAAAGTTGCAACTTTAAAATATACTATCAAAGATGCACATTAAAAATCCATCTGAAAAGGTTGTTTTAATGTTGAAAACCCTTCTAATTGATCACATCAAGATCGAGATGTATGAATATGAAAAAAAAAAGATTTTGAGTCCTAAAAATAGTGCATCTTGCAAAACATTATCTACACCATCCATTTTTTAGATTTTTATATGTTTATAAATCTACTTGATTTTAATCATTTTTTTAAAAAAATTAATTAGATACGAGAATAGATTTTCACATAATCCTAAGAAATTTTTCACCAAAATTATATATTGTGATAAAATTTGGAAGTGCACCTTAATTGGATTGTTTAAGGTTGCAACCTTTAAAAAATCATTCATTTTTTTTATATATTTTTCTAGCTTTTTTTAAAAATCCCTTAGTTAGACCTCCAACTTGGGACGACTCGGGCTCGGAAAGGGCCCGAGCCCGAATGACTAGGTCGAGTGGAAACTACTCAGCCGATTTTGCCACTAAATTTCTATTGGAATTGAAATACCGAGAATATTATTAGTCATCCATTTTAAGTTTATTTATTTCAATTTGACGTGGAGAGGTCTTATTTTGTAGTATCTAGGATTTTATTTATTAAATGCCGTTTCCTTGCTCATATGGGCTCTAATACATGCTTTTCTTTGGCTTATTTTTAGATTGAATAAACTTTGACTGTGTGAACTTTTTGCAACTATTATACGGTAGTCTAGTTTTGTCATGTCAAAATCCATTGAAAACTAGCCCAACAGATACATTCGATATATTATGCTTCAAATATTTTCATAAATGTTAATGCAGTCTGCCAATACAATAAAATAAAATAATATTTATTTCCATTTCAATGTCAAATAACTTAGAGGATTTTTAAGAAAAAATATACAATAATACCATTCATCTTTTATGCAAGGACCCATGATTGTTGTATGTGAACTCAGAATGCGGGAAATTTTATATTGACCAGTGTCAATATCCAAAAGAAATTTTTTTAAACTTTGTATTATACTTAGGTTGTCAGATTTCATATCTTAAGGCTGTGACCTCTTTGTGCTAAAGCAAGTTGTCTTATAGTACACAAATCCTGTTTTCTAAAGCTGAACGGTTTTTGTTACACATCCGAACTAAGGCATTTTATTCCTCCTTAAGATGCATTACCGAGAGAGAGATGCTCCTTTGAAATATGCACTTGGTCTTTAAAAAAAAAAAACCTAAACAAGAAAAAACAAATCAAATGAGCCAAATTCACCCTTTTGGGTTTTATTTCATCTCTAGTGATATCCTTCGTAGGACAACTACATATGGTGTGTTAATAACATTTGATTTCAATTTTTGCAAGCAAAAAATCTTTATCTAATCAATTTTACTAATTTGCAATGGATAAATGAAGAAAAGCGAATTAAATGGGTATTATATTGCAAGCACACCACACTTTGTTGTTAAGACAACTTCTTCTTTGATGTTATTGAGAGATCTTAGTTTAGTTCACAAACTTGTTGCTCTTGTTATTTCTCAATTCATTTTAGAATGTTGTTTGTTGTCCAAAATGCCTTAGCTTGGAAACATGGAAATCATGTCCCCTTTTTTTCCTTTTTTTTTTTTTTTTTTTTTTTTTTCACCATTCTAAATTTCATAAAAAGTGCTGTTATAATTATGGGGTAAGTGCTCTTGTTGCGGGGTAAGTGCTCTTGTTGCCTAGATTGGGATTAATCTCACACGAACACTTGACAAAGCTACTCTTTCGTAAAAGCAATATGGGATACATCAAATTTTCATTTTCAAGCTTATAATTGGCTTTTATGATGAATATAACCTCGTACTATTTTTTCAACTTAGATGAGGATGAAGTCCATATTTTATACGCGTTGTGATGCCTATATGTGAGGTTTTTGTTAAGGGATTTTATACCATTATTCTTTCTTATAAAGAGGTCACAATTGCTAGTAGCCATTAAATGTCAAATTAAATGATTTAGATTGAGACATAAAGTCCGAGAAAATGTTTTTTTACCTGGGCGTCTAATCAATAACACACTTCCAACTACCAAATTTTAAATCGCTAGACAATACTTAGTGTGAGATCTTTGTGTTACAAGTAAATGGTCCCTTTGTATACTTTTCATTCTACTAAAATATAGCTTGTGAAATCAATGTGATAATGCATTTCGTATGCAAGCAATTCTGTTTGCACTCGTTTCGAGTTTTGACCTAGGGCCTTTGATTTTTACTCAAACAACTAGTACATTATCATGCCAATAGATTTTATACTCCCCGTTGAGATTGTCCATTTATTCGTCGGGTAAACCCCAAAAAGGGAGTAATGTTGGGAATTCAAATTTTTGGGATACAGCTTCTTCACAATTGAGTAACCTAAATAAAAAAAAAGGGGTAAGCAAATTAAGCTGTCATAAGCATTTGAAAAAAATTTCTCAAGATCGAATTGAGATTGTCCAATCTTTGAATCGTGTGATGTAGGTGTCAAAAAACTAAAAATTCAAACTATTCTTACCTAAATAACTATCTACTTTATTTATTTTTCCTATACTTAGAGAGCTCAAATTGCAAACTTTTCTCTCTTTTTTTATTTGCTAAGGTTATTCAATGGTGAAGAATGTTGGGTTTATGTGGCCTTCAAAATACTAGATTCGATATGCTAGGCCGTCCAAGTTTAAAAAAACCCAAATACCTGGGCATAGGTATCTACCAAGAAGGGTTTAGTGGGTTAGCCTTTGATGAAGTCGGAGTATGCCTACATGAAATTCAAGGGCCCGTGTGGCCCTTGCTTGTGATGGAAAGCCTTTAGAGACAGAGCTAAAATCTCATCGTTATATCATCACACGGTACGTATATAGCTAACCGTTTTGAAATTCGCCAAAGAGAGTGAAGCATATACATATGTGAGAGATTACCCCTATGCACCATAGAGTCATGGTTGCATCATGGTCTTGAGGACCATGACTTTTTTGTCTCTAGGGGAAAACCTGAAATCCATTAACTGAGATTGTATCGTCTAGTCTATTGGCTGACTTTAGTGATCCAATAATGAGCCCCTACAGTGGACTGTGAGTCATGGGAACTGCTGGGTTCATTTGAGAAAGCTAGGTGGATCGTGGTCCGAAGTTGAAAGTGGAGTGCACCCGTATATTGATAAATTCTTATATATAATGGATCCAATTCTCATCAAAATTAATTAATTTTATTATATATTATTTTTAGAATGTTTATTTGAATTTTTGTGAATCTTCTGATATTTTATTTTATTCCGTGATGGTTATCCTTTGTTTGTTGGCTTATCGTTTGGGTATAGCTAAGTTAGAAGATAAAGTTGAATATTTGAAATATTTAGTAAAGCTTTGAATCAAGAATAATTGATCCAAGAAATAAGGATTGGCTATACTAAAATAGAAAATAAGATATATTTTTTTTTATTTAAGGATTTGATGGGAATAGATTTAAGAAATGGAGAACAAGGCTCTAGCATATCTCTTTGCATCTTAATAGTTGATCAAAGAGATGAATGACTCAAATCTCTCGCCCCAGAAGTCACCTTAGATCGACAGTTAAGATTTGACCCTACGAATTGAAGCAAACCCCAACGCATAGAAAATCTATAAAAAAAAATTCTCTGACATCATAAAATCTCTATTTTTTCTTCTCTCTTTAAGGGTTTATCTCTCTCTCTCTCTCTTTCGTTTCTAGGTGACACGCCCAAGCTAAGGTTAGCTTGTGTTGGTTTGATTTTTGAGTAGAAAAGTGGTGATTTGATTTTTGGATAGCAAAGGAGAGGATCCCCTTGCTAGTAGATCTCTCCCTCTCTCTTTGATATATCTCTCATCTCTCCAAACATCAAGCCAAAGGAACTTGAGAAAAACTAATCAAACCAAAGGAACTTGACCAAGACTAAGGCATTGAGGCTTTATGTAGTTTGTTTTAGATTGAGATCCATGCTCCAAAGATCAAGCCAAAGGGGCTTAAGAAAGACTATGGCATTGAGGCGCTTAAGTAAGACTAAGACATTGAGGCTTTAGGTCGTTGGTTTTAGATCGAGATTCATATGCCTTTGAGTGGGTTTTGCCATATGTAGGAGAATCAAGAGACTAATCATAGATCTCGATCACCACTGAAAAGAGGAGACTTGGTGTGGAGTATACTAAACCCGGTTGATATAATCTCTGGCAATTTTACTTCTTTAAATCTCTATTTGTGATTTGATCTTTCCTTCCCATAAAGCAATGAGTTAAGGTTTTTATTTAAGGAATTGTATTCAATAGTGAAAGCAAGTGTGAACCGGGTTTTTTTTATTTTATTTTATTTATTTCAAGAGTTATTTGTTTGAAATTGGACATTGTGAGTGGTCTTGCTGGTGTAAGAATAAAAAAATTTTAATTTATATACACCGTGCATGATCACATAGTCCAACTTTCAGAAGTTGTATACCAAAAATTTGAGTTCTTAAAACTTCTCGTGTATTGGGGTTTACCCTAGGGAGAAATGGACAGTCTCTAACGGGAGTATAAAATCTTGTGATGTACTTTGAAATTTAAAAAAATGCAGGCTCTTCAATCACAAACTAGAATCAAAGTACCCGTAGGTGTAACAATCAGGTTGTCAAGTCAACCGACCTAGGTCTGGGTCCAAGTTTATGTTTCTGACCTAGTGGGTCGAGTATGGTTCCAAATGACTTCGAATTAACGTAAGTTGCATTCAGGTGCGTTATGAACCCTATCCGGTTGGGTTCAAGTCACCTAGTAAGGTCGTTCAGAGTCTGGGTCAATACGGATGTGACCCAGCCTGTCGCCACCCCTAAGTAGAGACTTAAAATAATAAGCACGAACCTCTCTCACACAACTTACTTCTCAATAGCAATTAGTATGATCTGAGCTTATTTCACTATACCAATTAGGATGATCTCTTTTTGACAAGAAGAGGCACACTTTCTTTCCTTCTCTAATGTATATTGAAAATGTCAACATATTGGTCAAATCATATACGGATGTAATACCATGAACAAAATAAAGCACATTGAATTGCACCTAGTCGGCCTATCTCGTTCAAGGAACGAAGCTTATAGGTATTTCTGAAGATTTAAGAAATGCATCAGTGACCCGGATTGTGCCTCCAGATTTCTGATGCAATTAGTGGATTGGCGATGTGGTCTACTAGACCAAGAATTAAAAAACTCTGAAAAAATTAATTAGAGCCAGCTCTGGCCAATTGTTGGGATAGAGTTGAACCCAAACAACTAGTTTAGTAACTAAAAAAAGGAATGGTGGAGCTAGTTTGTATCAGTTCTCTGACAAAACCGACAGTTCTATTTGAGAATTGGTAAGAACCAGGCTCAACCGGCCATTTCATTAGGGGAATCGGTCGATTCTCGATATATTACGGGATCCGGAGTTCTGATCTGGATCACCTAGTTTTTACACAGATCTTCCCCAATGAAAGCCAATCAAACCCAAGAAAACATAGACAAAAATAAAGAAGAAAGGAATTTAGCACCAACTTAAGTAAAACTATGCAAAACATATTCATTAGAAAACCTTGCCTACATTGTGCTAATGGCAACCATAATAAGATTAGGATGAGTAATTTTCATTGCTTCCTGAAATCCTTGGAACTTAAACCCATACAAGGTGGGTATGAGGCAAGAAATGGCAAAGAAAACCATGATCCGGCTTCCTGCCAGGAGCGGGGCCAATCCACCAAAAGCTCGGAGAAGTCCAGGACTTAATGCCTGCATGGCACCCTGCAATTGCATTCACTATTCTACCATCTCCAACAGTGGCAATAGTAAAAAGCACAAGGATAGGGCATGTTATCGTACACTGCTGAGCTAGGCTTCGTATCCTTTCTCTCCACTTTCTTTGCAGTGTATGCTTGTAGAAATGAAGCATTGTTAATGATGGCATGGAGCATAGTAATGTTATGGCCCAGAGAAGAGGAGTTGGCACAGTCAATCATGGCCTCTAAAGAAGTCAGACACTTCTCCGTGCGCAAAAGATATCGGGCAAATGATATAGGGCATCGGATTGTTGTGGAATGTCAGTGCCCAATACCTCTCGGATGTCAGTGCCTAATACCTCTAGGATGTCGCCAATACGTGGTACTGGTTCATCATTCCCTACATATAACAAGTAAATCTTAACACATCAGACAGTACATGGTATAACATAGACAGCATGTTACATTGTTCAACTCAAAATATCCCATTTTACACAAACACAAGACACCAAACAATTGTCAATGGAGGCATATTAGAAATAATCCAAAAAAAAGGAAAATTGTAAAAATAACTATGATTTTGTGGATAAACCAATATTTGACACTGGAAAAGATAGATGACTAAAAGGAGAATCAGCAGGTGAAATTAGTTCAGTCGTCGAAAGCACTCATCGCAAAAATGCACATGTGGTGTATTCTAGGTTTGAGCATAGGCATTTTCAGCAAGGTTATATAGATGAAGTAATGCAGTTTCAACAAGTTTATCTAGTTAAACATATTACCTTTCTTCAAGATTTACAGTTTTATTACACATTCGTTGTGTTTTGATTAGTGCAATAACCCACAAACCCCAAGATCATATTTATAATATATGGATTGAAGAAGATTGCGTGAATAGCACAAAATTCATCTTAACTTATTACAAACCTCGAGGACGAGTTTTCTCCAACTAAAGGAGAATGATTGCCGATATGATAATGTTAAATTCATATTTTTATTTTATTATTTATTTTGATTTTCAGGTCTACTTGTAGTTTTTATTAGGTATTTTTTTGGAATTATATTTATTTAGGAATTAGGGTTACGTTTTATTGATTGTAGGAATGCTCATCTTTGAAAAATGTGAGAGTAGATAATTATGGTTTTTTCTTACAAAAAGGGTGGAATAGGACGTTGGAGAAGGGAAACCTATCCTTCATTAGTTGGGAACCCTATTGCCCTTGAGATCAACCAATGCCTAAACTAACTCAAGAACCAAGATGGAAATACATATTTATTAGGATATTTCATTATTAAGTCAAAATTTGTAGAATTAATATATGCAGATTTGGTTACTATAGTTTGTTTCATCAAATCATTCAGATAAATATTAGTCTCCCAATAATATTGCAAGGTGAATATTTGCATGTATTCTCTTTCAGTCTTATGCTCGTTGGGGGTAGTTCAATCTAACTTGCTCACTGGTGTTTTGGTCGCTCCTGATGGCCCTTCTATCCCCCATCTTCAGCGTGCTGATGATATTCTTTTGGTGGCTGAAAGACACTTCTGCCAAATCAGAACACTACGGCTTTTCATTAAATTCTTTGAAGTTTTATCTAGTGCTAAGGTGAATACGCATAAAACTTCTCTTATGGGCATTAACTGCATGGAAGAGGAGATTCTGGACTGGGCCTCCTAGCTGGGTTGCAAAGCTGATTCCTTGCAATTAACTACCTCAAAATTCCTCGCCATTAACTACCTCAAAATTCCTCTTTCTGATGATCAGCTATCCAATGCTCAATGGACTCCAGTTATTGAAAGTTTCCAATTTAAACTTGATGGATGGAAGTGCAGGTTCCTATCCCTTGGGGGAAGAGTTCATCAATGCCACTGGCAAATCTGCCCATCTATTTCTTTTCTCTTTTTAGAGTTCCACAAGTTGTTATTAAAATTCTTGAGAGACTGATGATAAACTTCTTATGAAGTGGATCACAAAACAAGAAGAAATTCCACTTGGTTAGCTAGCAGATTGTTTGTATGCCAAAAAATGAAGGCGCACTGGGTATCAGGAGGCTCAAATCAGTTAATGAGGCCTTACTCACTAGATGGTAGTGGAGGGCCTCAAGCTCTCATGGTCAATTATGTTTACAGGGAGTTATTGCCAAATATGGGTGGGACCAATGCTACATGATTCTTAAAAATGTCCCGAGAAATAGGTCTGCTTCTGTAGTATGGAATGGACCCAAGCACATAATTCCTTCAAGCACTTGCCAAAAGAGATTTTCGACTCCAACTTCTATACGCTTTTGGCCTTGAAGAAAAATAAATTTGTGAAGGACAACAGGTGGTCCCGCCACCTCCAGGCTGGGTGAAACTTAACTTCCATGGTTCTGGTAATATTATCTGGTCCTTTCATGGGACCTTGCCACCGTGTATTGCTAATGAAGCAGAGTTTTGGGCCCTCTATCATGGAACCAGTAAACTCGACGACTCCTTCCAAAAGATTCTCATCGAAAGAGACTCCCTCGATGTCATCAACTGGTGCTAGAATCCTACTTCTACCCCTTGGTAATGGACCCATCTTTGGGATGGTAGTGACAAAAGCCTATGCGGGAAGGAGGTCTCCTTTATTCATATTCATAGGGAAAGGCATGGGCGTGCTGACACTATTGCCAAAGGAGTAGGGTTGTAATTGTGCTTTCTTTTCTTATGTTCTTTGCTTTCCTTCCTCTATTACGTTTTCTTGTAATTTTTCATCCCATCCATGAAAAGTTGCATGTATTCAATAGTGGGAATTCGGCACCTAGCACTAGGAAGTTCTAGTGGATTTTAAAAGCACTGATCATGGATATCAAGTATTTGGTAGTAAATGCAGTTGTATGTTGTGGTTAATAGTTAGTTAAGTTATACGTACACACAACATCTTGAATAAAAAGAAGTTTGTTATCTCCCAAAAACTAGTTGGGAGTTTTTCTTTCATGATGATGTCATGCTCGAAGCCTTTTGCATTTCTTTTTCCTTTTTCCCAGTTTGTTTGCGATGCTTGATTCAACATGAAGGTGGTTGTAAGTAGTAATTTATTTTGAAGGGAAAATATTTCCATACCCCTTATTTTTAGGTTTCATATTTTTTTAATATCTTCACACCCCTTATTTTTTTTAATACACCCAAGATTTCAAAACATATCTTGAATCATAGAAAACTTAAGTTTTAACTCAAACAATTTGTTCAAAGACAACCATCTGTAAATCTCATCATTTCTCTCTCTTCACATGATATTCTCCTTATTGCTCTGTCTTTCTCTTTCCACTATGACACTCCCCAACTCCTTCTCTCTCTCATCGTATTACCTCTTTTTCTCTCTCTCTCCCTCCATGTATCTCACTCTCTCTCACATCCTATTTATCTCTCTTTCTCTCTATTCACCATGACTCTCCCTAATTCCTCTCTCTTTCTCACCATGACTCTCCCCAACTCCACCTTTACTCTTCATAATTTCTCTCTTTTTCTCTCTCCACCATAACTCTCTAATTTCTTTCTCTTTCTCACCATGACTCTCCCCAACTCCACCGTGACTATCCCTAATTTATCTCTCTTTCTCTCTCTCCACTTTCTTTCTCAATGACTCTCCCCAATTCCAGCTTGACTCTTCCTAATTTCTCTCTTTCTCACTTTCCACTGTGACTCACCCTAATTTTTCTCTCTCTCTCCACCATGACTCTTCCCAAACCCCTCTCTCTCACACATCGTATTACCCCAATCTCTCTCTCCTCCTCCATGTTTGTCATTCTCTGTCTTCGTGAAACACCTAACCTGAAAACCCTGACGTCTACAACTCTCGAAAACGACATTCTTGGAAACTTCGAACATCTGTAATGGCACTTCGAACCTCTGCAAATGGTAGGATAGAGAGAGACTATGTGGTTTGTGGTGCGAACCTCTACAAATGAAGCTCTTTATGGTTTGGATCCTCTGCAAATAAAGCTCTATGTAGTTTGAGTCCTTTGCAAATGGAGGTGCATGTGGTTTGGGCTGCGAAGATCTGCTCCCAAATGGAGCGCTAAGAGGTTTAGGGAGAGAAAGGTTGGGGAAACACAAGGAGAAAGAGGTTGGAAAACATAGAGAGGGGTTGAGGGACAGAGAAGTTGGGAAACACAAAGAAATGGGTGGGGAACAGGGAGAGAGAGTGGGGGTAAGAGAGAGAATAAGAGACAGAGAGAGAGTTGGGGGTGACGAGAAAGTGAGAAGGGATTTGGGGACAGTCATTGGGGGAGTGAGAATGAGATAAATTTGGGGAAGAGAGAGAAATAAAGGTTCAGAAAAGGGGTGCACTTTTACAAATTGTTTGGGTTTAAAAAGTAAAAAAATAAAGTGAGTAAAATTAGTTTTGGGGGTTAAAAGATATAAAACTTCAGTTTTCTATGATTCAAGATATGTTTTGAAATCTTGGGTGTATTGAAATATGAAACCTAAAAATAGGGAACGTGAAGATATTTTTCTTATTTTGAAAAAGGTTGTAAGGAGTAGTTATTGATCCATTGATGTGTCTGTTTGTGATGTTGTCGGCTTATGTAACCAACTTAGAGAGTAGGGTTGGCAAAGGGTATGGATTGGGCCAGGCCAGGTCTAGTTTCAGTTTGGCCCCATTCCTCTAAACTCCGGGCTTGGCCCTTAAAGGAAAATCAAGCCAAAAAAAATGAAAATTAAAGGCCAATCTAAAAGAGGAGAGATATTGAAGGCCTATGCATATTAATGGAAATTAAATATTGAAAAATCACCTAACTTCTCTACAATTACATTCTACACAGAAACCTATTTTTTGACTTTCCAAGGTCCGTGGGTTCCACTATTCGGCCCTTGGACCCGAAACTTAGGGCACATTTGAAAGGTATGAAAACTTTAGAGAGAGAAACTATCACAAATTTTAAGTTTAGATAGAGAAAGTATATTAAAAATGTAGAGAGAGACACTATATTAAATTGGAATAAATTTTTTTAGAGAGAAACTATATTAAATTGGAGTAATATTTTTTAGAGAGATAAACTATCTCAAAATTTTTAGAGAGAGAAACTACGTCAAATTTTAATTTCTTGAGAGAAAAATTATACTAAAATTTAGAGTAAGAAACTATATAAAATTTTAAAGAGAGAATGTACATGCAATTTTTTAAAGAGATAAACTATCTTGAATTTAAAGTTTGAGGTAGAGCATCATAAAACTTTAGAGAGAGAAAGTATATCAAATTTTAGAGAAAGTACCTAAAAATATTTAGAGATAGAAACTATCTCAAATTTTTTAGATAGAAAAACTATCTCAAATCTTAAGTTTGAGAGAGAGAGAGAGAGAGAGAGAGAAAATGTATTAATTTTTTAGAGATAGACACTATAACAAGTTTTAGAGAGAGAAACTACTTGAAATAATTTTAGAGCAAGAAACTACCTAAAAAATTTTAGAGAGAGAAACTATCCCAAATTTTAAATTATGAGGAAAGAAAGTATCTCAAATTTTAAATTTTAGAGAATAATAATAATATAAAATTTTAAAGAGAAAAACTACAACAAATTTTTGAGAAAGAAACTACATCGAATTTTAGAGAAAGTAGCTAAAATATTTTTGAGATAGAAACTATCCCCAAAAGTTTTAGAGAGACCTCAAATCTAAAGTTTCAAGAGAGGAAGTAGTCTTAAAATTTGAGAGAGAGAGAGAGAGAGAGAAACTATTTTAAATTTTATAATTAGAAACTACCAAAAAACTTTTAAAGAGAGAAATATCTCAATTACTTTAAAGAGAGAAACTATCTCAAATTTAAAATTTTTGAAAGAGAATGTATGTTGAAACTTTTGAGATAGAAATTATATCAAATTTTAGAAAGAGAAACTACCTAAAAGTTTTTAGAGAGAGAAATGTAAAACTTATGAAACCCTAAAGAGAGAAAGTGAAGAGAAGACCATGAATCATTCATTCCCCTCAACAATTAGTTTTACATATTAGTATATATATATATATAGTGGACCAAAATACCCTTGAGGGTAAAGAATGAACAAATAACCTATACAATATTATAAAAGACAATCTCATCCTTAACACCCTCTCTCAAGCTGAGCACGTGTCTTGTGCATCGAGAACTTGTATGTGGACTCATGGTATCTTGATCTAGTTAATGTTTTAGTGAACATGTCTGCCAGTTGATGGGATGAAAGAACAAAGGTCATTGAAATAGCACCTGATACAACCTTTTCTATGTGTTTAGTGTGAGCATGGAAGATAGGATTGGTGGCTAGGTGCATGGAACTTTGATTATCATAAGCTAGAATGGTTGGTTTAATTATGGAAACACCAATTTCTTTAAGGAGCATACGTAGCCAAGTAATTTTTGTCGCGACAATACTCATTGCTCTATATTCTGATTCTCTACTAGATTTAGATACTGGGGCATGTTTTTGCTACTCTAGGAAATCAAACTCTTTCCTAATAAGATACAGAATCCTGTAATAGACCTACAATCATTAGGGCACCCAGCCCAATCAGCATCAGAGTATGCTTTGAGGTCAGGTGAACTGGACGAAGCATAGAATAATCCATCATGTATAGAACCCGTAAAATACCTCAAAATCCGTTTTGTGGCTTCCATGAATTTACATACTATATTCACTGCATAAGCAATGTCAGGACGTGTAAATATAAGATAATGAAGACCACTAGCTGCATTTCTATACAAGGAAGGATTTGTAACAATTCCCCTTCTTCAAGCCTTAACTTCCTAATTACTTCAGTCGGGGTAAGAATAGAATTGCATCCCAACATCCTTGTTTTAGAGAGTAAGTCAGGAATATACTTATGTTGGGTGAGAACAAAGCCTTTTTCATTCTGATGAGTTTCGATCCCCAAAAATATTTTAGTACTCCAACATCCTTCATTTCAACGTTCAGTTTCAATTCTTTCTTAATATATTCAATGCCTTTAATATCATTTCCAGTGACAATGATGTCTTCCACATAAGTTAGAAGGATAACAATACCTGAAGATGATCTTTTAAGAAATAAAGAGTAGTCTGCCTTGCTTCTTTGAAAACCATTACAATGGAGTAGACAATTGAATTTCTCAAACCATGCCCCAAGAGCTTGTTTGAGTTCATAAATCACCCTTTTTAATTTGCAAATATGATGTGGTCGTAAGGGATCTTCAAATCATTTGGGTTGTTGCATGTACACTTCTTCTTTCAAATCACCATAAAGGAATGCATTTTTCACATCAAGTTGATGGAATTTTCAATTAAACATAGATGACAGAGCCAGGATTGATCGAATAGTGGTGCCTTCATAACTGGACCGAAAGTTTGATCATAATCAATGCCATATTCTTGACTAAAGCCCTTGGCCACTAGTCTGGACTTCAACCTTTATGTTCAAAGTTGTATCCAATAAACTCACACTCATAAGCCTTAGGAGAAAATTTATTTATTTGAGAAGAATAAATCTGTGAGAAGTATACACATCCAAATACCCAGAGAAAAGAGTAATTTGGTTTACTATAAAAGAGCTTTTGGAATGGAGATATGATGACAACATTGAGCTTGGCAATCTGTTAATGAGATATACACTGGCCAAAGGAATTGAGGTAAACCACTCGCATACATCATGGAAAGATTACTCTCAAACAACTTCACTTTGCTTAGTCGTTGATGCAAGGTTACAACGTCACTTTGCCCGTAGCCGGATTTGTTCCTATAGATCCCTCATCTTTTTCACATCTCAAACAACGTCACTTTGCTTAGTCGGTGATGCAAGGTTGAGCGTGTTGCTTTGGTTACAAGGTTCAGCATGTCGCAATAGGTTTAACGTTGCAAAATTTGTTTTGAGAAGTATTGCAAAGTTGAGCATCGTGGTTGCAAAGTTTGCATCAAGCAAGTTAGCTGCCAAAATTTCAGTTGCTAGCTGTTGCTTGAGATAACCTTTCCATAATCGGGTCATCCTATCCATACGCTTCAATAGAAGGTGATCATCACCACGGAATAGAGCCTCCACAATTGCTGATGTCAGTTGAGGTATTTCCTTTATGTTTAGTGATCTTGGATGATGATTAGTATTAAAAAAAAACGTGGACTGCATGTTAAGCTAAAAGTCTTGCAACTTTTCAAATTGAGTGTTTTTTGTGATTATTAAATGATATATTTTGTAAGAGATTTTTAAACTCTTGTGAGCCAAGGGATTTTGGCATGTATTGGATTCTTCTTTTTTACAGTCACAGTTTGCGTTGAACGGTTATGAATCCTATATTTCTAAGGTTTATTTTGTGAAGAAAACGAATCTCACAAGTGCGATTTTGAGCATTTAAGTCGTCGATAGTTTGATAATTTTCATTGGGATCTTCGATTAGTTCTAATTGAGGCAGTTTTTATTCTTTAATCGCTCTTGTTATCAATCAGGTCAGTTTTATAGTTCTTGTTATCTCTTTATAATGGCAAATTCATAAAATAACTTCAGCATGAAACTTATTATTGTTCTTTTGAATAGACTTAATTATCTTGTTTGGTCGAAAGCTGTTTCTCGTTCTCTCATTGAAAAATCTAAACTTGGATACATACCTAAGAAGAAAACCATGAGTCTTGATTTCAAAACCTTTGAAAAAAGTATTGAGAAATATCCATGGATGCTAATGAGAAATATGAAACAAAAAGGACTCAAAATAATGAGGGAGGTAGAGGCCTTAACTATTATCAGCAACCAAGTAGCAACAATGGTTCTTCTTCCACACAGGATTCTTCTTCTTCATTCTCGGACACAGGTAACCCTAATGTTTTCATGTCTTCTTGTGACAATATTCATTGGATAATAGACTCAGGGGCCACCGATCATATGACTAGTAACTTATATTGTATATCCAACTTCAAAAATAATGAAAGTATGAACCTTGTGTCTATTGCTAATGGTTCATTGATTCATTTTCATGGTGTTGGTAAGAACAATTTCTTCTCCAAGTCTCATAATTCTGAAGTTCTGTTTATGCCATCACTTTCCTCTAACTTGATGTATATTGGTAGAAATACTCAGAGCATGAATTACAACGTTATTTTTTCTCCCAACTCTGTGACTTTTCAAAACCGGGCTACAAGGAGGAAGATTAGTGAAGGAAGACTATCTTATGGGCTATATTTATTTAATCAGGAAGTACTTCTGAAACTCACCAAACTGGTTTAAAAGAAGAAGACTATGTCATGGCCGTGCCCCCCCCGGATCCCCCATTGCCCAGGTCTTCTCGTATCTCTCATCCTTTCTCTAGAATTCAAGATTTTTATACTTACGATGGAATTTCTTTTCCTGTTCAAAATCGTATTTCTTATGAAAATATCTCCCCTGGATATTTTGGTTTTTTGAGTTCTATTTCTAATTCTGGGCCAAGTAATTTTCAAAATGTTATTTCTCAACCTGTATAGAGGAAGGTCATGAAAGAGGAACTTCAAGCACTTGATAAGAACCATACTTGAGACATTGTCAAGCTACCTAAAGGGAATAAAGCAGTTGGATGTAAATGGATTTATAAAATCAAATATAGTAGTGATGGGTCTGTTGAGAGACATAAGGCAAAGTTGGTGGCCAAAGGATTTACCCAAACATATAGAGTGAACTATAAAGAGACTTTTGCACCAGTTGCCAAGATGAATATTGTTCGTGTTCTTTTGTCTATCGTAGTTAATTGTGGGTGTTCTTTGCATCAGATGGATGTTAAAATATCCTTCGTACATGGTGACCTTGAAGAAGAAGTCTATATGAGTCTTCCTCCATGTCATTCTAAAGAAAATGAGAAAGGTTTTGTATGCAAATTAAAGAAGGCTTTGTATAGACTTAAACAATCACCTCGTGCATGGTATGCCAAACTCAGCTTAGCCTTGATGAATGTAGGGTTTCATAGAGTTCAGTTAATTCTTCGATGTTCACAAAAAGGGGAACTTCAGGTACAACAATTGTACTTATTTATGTTGATGATATTATCATTATAAGTAATGATAAAGAAAGCATCATGAAGATTAAAAATTATCTTCATAAGAAATTTGACATCAAGGAACTTAGTCAACTAAAGTGTTTTCTCGGCATTGATGTTGCACATATAAAAAGTAGACTATTCATTTCTCAAAGGAAATATGTATTAGATTTGTTGAAGGAAACTGGAAAACTATGAGTCAAACCCATAGACACTCTTGTTGATATTAATTGCAAGCTTATTTCAACAAATGGAAAACCTCTTGAAGATGTGGGCCGCTTTCAGAGACTTGTGGGCAGATTGATTTATTTGACTGTGACCCGACCAGATAGCATGCTCCTAGATCATGTCATATTGAGGTTGTTAACAGAATTCTCAGATATCTTAAGTTGTCACCCGACAAAGGTATTTGATTGAAACTAAATGGTCACACTAATATTATTGGTTATTTTGATGCTGACTGGGCAGGTAGTCCAACTGATAAGAGGTCCACTACCGGCTATTATACATTGGTCGAGGGAAACTTAGTTACTTAAAAAATCAAGAAACAAAATGTGGTTGCTCGATCCAGTGCAGAGGCTGAATAAAGAGCTATGGCTTCAACTACGAGTGAATTGATGCTGCTAAAATTCCTACTTCGAGCTATAGGGCTCCCAACGGTCAATCCAATGGATATGTTATGTGATAATCAAGCAGTTATGCATATAGCCTCCACTCTAGTTTTTCATGAAAGAACCAAGCACATAGAATTTGAATGTCACTTTGTGAGAGAAAAGGTTCAGTCAGAAATTATTAGTACTCATTATGTTCAAAGTGAAGACGAACTTGCAGACATATTTACCAAAGCTATTGCAAATACAAAGTTCCGTCAGATATTGTCCAAGTTGGATTCCATTGATATATACGTGCCAACTTGAGGGGGAGTGTTGCCAGTTATAAAACCAGTTATTGAGTTTCCTATCTTATTTATTACAAGATATTAAGTTTCATATTTTGTGGGATTAAAAAACTGGAAATCCGTTGGAGGACCTAAATAGTGGAAAAGTAGCATATGCCCATGGAATGCACATGTCCCACAAAAATTAACCCATCACTAGGTCATGGGCTTTCCCCATTCATGCCCATATTCCTTAGTGAGGCTTGCAAGGGCCCTGATACATGACATACTGCACCACAGTGCGAGCAGGGCGCATCGTGGCACACATCGGTGCCCTCGTGGTGCGAGTGGTGGCCAGAGCATTGCACAGTTTGCTATAACTTTGGTGCAGAGGTACACCGCATTGCTCCAAAATGTGCTAGGGATAGATGAGTAAGATATTAAGACTCCATATCAGATAAATAAATCTGAGGACTAACACAATTGAAACTAAATTCGTCCTTAAATTTCATATCATGGAAGACAAAAGGGTTTTTATATATACACTAGGTTCGTGAGGAGTTCCAATAACTTTTCATTCCTGTTACAGTTTACATCAACCCTCTATGTGGGGTTGAGCCCTCTTGAAACTTATACATTCACAGACCTAAAAGGAAAAATATACAGACACGTGGAGAACATCACACCAAGAGACATATGTTCTCCATACCAAGGGAATTTATTTGTGACATGTTTTTTGTAATCTTTTCTATCATTTTGTCAAAGATTGGAAAGTGTTTTGACCATAAATAATTGCTTTCACATTTTCCCATCTTTTTTGAATTATTTCAAAAATACCACCAATCACAAGTTGATTCTTTAAAATCATACTTTAAACCTACATTTCCAAAAATTTTAGATTTTTTTCTATTTTTTTTAAATTACTAATTTTTTGCGGCTACAAATCTCAGCACTTTGCTCAGGCCTAGACAGAGTACTCGGCCCGAGTTGATCTTTAGAACAGTCACCAAAGGCAGCATAGAGAGAGGAAGGGCCTCGCCAAGGGCCGCATGTCAATCATGCACTTAAAACGCTTTGCCCATCGTCCTTCTTATCCCATGTACACGGCTAACGATTCAATTGAGATGCCTCATGACGCATGGCCAACATGCACTTCAAAAACCCTTTCTCTCTCCATGACTCACTCCCTATATGTAGTGTGAAGCATAGTAATGTTATGGCTTCTCCAAGGAGAAGTGCCTGACATCTTTGGAGGCCATGATTGACTATGTCACCCCATCTTCTCTAGACCATAACATTACTATGCTTCACACTAGCATCGACAAGGCTTCTATGATCCAAGCATACACTGTGAAGAAAGTGGAGAGAGTGCCTGCAAAGCCTAGCTCAGCTGTGTCCCATAACATGCCCTATCCTTTTGCTGTTTATAATTGCCACTATATTGAAGAAGGAAGAATGTAAAAGGTGAGCTTGAAAGGGGAAGATGGGAGCATGGTAGAGGCAATTGCAGGTTGCCATGCAAACACTAAGAATTGGATCGGATATCCACTTTGGTTTCAATCCCTTCCCGCAGGCAAGAAGGCAGATCATCAGAATTATACTTGCCATTTCTTACCTGATACCCACATTCTGTGGGCTTCGGCTAAAATCCCATAGTATGAGGATGCAAACAGAGCCTTCTCTCATTATGGTTGGCAAAATAACTATGTATGCAATGCCTCTTATAATGGTTGGCAAAATAACTATGTATGCAATGTGTTTTAATTATCGATGCCTTTAGTAGATGTACCTGATTTGTTTGTTACACTTCAATTATTTACCTTTTTTTTTTTTTTTTTTTTTTTTTTTTTTTGGGTTTTATTCAGTGTTAATGTCCTAAATGAGGTAGGAAAGACTAATAACTACTCGATGTGCTTTTCAATAAGAAATTGTTGGTATTGCATGTATACGTGACTTTATTAAAATAGAGACCAAATTCATATAAATATCCAATTTCAAATTCATCAAATACTTTTTGAAGCTTAAAAAAAAAAGTGAAACTCTTTTTTTCAGTTTTCGGCTGCAGCTAATGCTGAAATCTGCAGTATCTTCAGAGTTTTGTAGAGATTTTTCATAAAGCATCATCCCCAAGTTTGAAATCTAGTAACTTCCCAAATCATCAAAGGGCGAATCAATTCTCCTTTGAATGTTTCTATTAGAGGGAGATAGCAAAGACAATTTTTTTTCATGCTGCTCTATAATTCTCATCTTACGTATATTATTTATGGCAAAAATTTCTACATGGTTGCTGTTTTCTGGGAATGTGCTTCCAACATTCTGATTTCCTTAACAGAATGATATGGTGGTTCAGTGGCTGTAGCTACACACAAAAATAATTTCAAGTGAGGAAAACATGTTAGCATGCTCTCACTACGCTGTGGGGACCTGAAGTATGTAGCACTTAAGGGATTATTTGCCTACGAGTATAATCTCGATATTCTGGGTGGTATAAAACCAATGGGCTAGGAACACAATCTTTTAAAACTTATCCATTGTATTAAAACTTTCCATTGTATTAAAACTCAAGGGTTTAAATGCATGAATATCTCAATACAAAATCATAATATATATATTCCAGCCTACTTATATACATTTGAATAATAAAAATTCAATCCTGATAGGTCCCTTACAAATCTCTTACTTAAAATTACAATTAAATTCAATACAATTTTCAAATACTCACCATGAGCATCTCTACGACATATTACCTTACTTGTACTCAAAATTCCACATTATATCAAAATTACATAATAATTCCATCTTCATTCTTCATCATCATCATATATCACAATATCTCATACACATCACACACTTAATCATAATAATCCAATAAGATTTCAATTCGCATAAACAATAGAGCATAGCATTAAAGCTATTACCTCAAAATTAAATAATAATTTCTACATTCACATAATATACTCAATTTAATCAATCATGAATCACTCAATAACTGTAAATACATTAAATCAAACATACATGGGAGAAGTCATGGTTCGAACCCCTTGTGCCCAGGCCACGAAAAGGCATTTTGAGGACCTAATTTTATCTCATTGTCTAAGGCACTGGTGATAATAATAAATCAAGGAGATCAATCCAATGGGAAAAAAAATGATCAATTTTATTTCACATAATGGAATCAAATCATGAGAAAAACATGTATCAAAATAGTCATTCAAAGTTTGGGAGAGAACTACACAAAATAAGGAAGTTATGATGAAACTACACTATATAGTTGATAAGGGTCCACACAAACTTTTCAACATTCAAAAAAGAAACTCAAGAGATTATATCACATGCTCAAATATGATGAGACAAACCTCTCATCAGTTGTATATTCTTAGTAAAAATTCCAGAAAAATAAGATCAAGATTATCAAAGCGAAACTACTCAAGATCATGGAGTACATAAGCTAGTCTACATATCTTGTATATGGACTGCATAATTGCTTTGAGACTCTTTAAATGTCAAGTTTTCATGACCAAAAGATGAAGAAAGTTATTTTAAACTAATAATTACAACAAGCTTTGATAATAAAAATGATGTAAGAAATGGAATATATGAAAAAAAAAAAAAATTCAATACCTTGGTGAAACAATATTATGGGTTTGTTCTCTTATACGAGGAACTACTCCATCAAAAGGTTTCAACTCAGGGCTTAAAAATGAGAAACACAATAATGGGGGTGTTGTTCTCAAGAGGACTATGGTGGCCAAGTTTTTGTCAAGGGGGCACTCTCTCTCTTTGGAGTGAAACTCAAAATCAGGGCTACAATTAATCCCATAAGTTACTTTTATACCTAAATCATAAAGGTGAATTTGATCTTGGTCATTGATGTCGTGGATCAATGGCACATGAGAGGTTTTTATCCAAGCCACTCATCCATAGCTTATCACCAAGATCAATGGGTGAGCTTTTGACATCCTTCACTACTTGAAACCTAGGTTTATTGTCATTTTACCTTAAAGTCTTCCATGTTTTATTCTTATTAAGTCCAAATTCATTTTTACGCTTATGCCCATACCTTTTCTATTAAGTCCCAATTCATATTTACCTCGGTTTTTCTAATGTTTTCTATCGTTGGCATCCCTCTTTTTGGATTATTTCTAAATTACCTCTAGATTATCTCAAAAATACCCACATTCACAAACTTGCTATTTCAAACTTCATTTTTTTACCACTTTTTTAACTTTATTTGGACATGTTATGTTTAAGTTTACTCTAAACATAATTTTCATATTTTTTTTGGATTTATTTTATATTTTTATAAAATATAATAAATTAATTTTTGGTCAGGCCAAGACCAGCCTGGTTTTTCTGGGTTTCCCAGAACCGGTTCCAAGTTAGTCAGAGCGACCCATGTCTGGGTTCTGAGCCTGGTTCGTGTAATCAGACATTTCTACTAGCCACTAGAAGTCAAATTGGATAGCTTGGTGTGCGGCACAAAGTTCAAAAAATATTTTTTTAACTTTGAGTCTAGTCGATGACATACTCGCAAGCACCCGATTTGAAATCTAATAGAAAAGAGTGATTGTGAACTCTTTGTATTAGAAGTGAGTGGCCTCTTCATATACCTTTCCATATACTACTAGACAATCGAAAATCACAATCTACGATAATCATCGCCATAAATTAAAGAGTGAATTACGTATGGACACGATTTCCTTATGTTCAGGGGGTTATTACTATTTGATGTTATTTATGCCAAAAATTACAAGGACCATCCCCCGGGTTTTTTGTTTTTTTTGTTTCCTTAAGTTGCCCTCCTAGGTGATGTATATGGCCACTAGCAATTATTGGTCCACCTAATAGAAACAAAATTCAAACACAATAGCAAAGTGCACTGTTGTTTCTTTTTGAGAAGAGAATGTAACAAGATAGGAAAGTGTATATTACATGTCAAAAGATAAAAAAGTTTCTATTACACCATTATATTACCATTACATATACAATGAAAAAACCACTACAAATATTGTGTGAGGAACAATTATTTTATCAAAAAAATTTTCAGTTTCTAAAACTATTTACCACCCTCACCAAAACCACCCCTATTCATTGGTGAGCGAACCATTGTTTTGCATGGGTCGTTGGATTATATAGACCTCAACACGTTAGAGAGAGAGAGTCGCCTACGGCCGCATGTCCAACATACATTTCAAAGCTTTTTCTCTCTCTCAAAGGCTCATTTCCTTTGTTTGGCATGCCCTTCTCTCTCTCTCTCAAAGGCTCATTTCCTTTGTTTGGCATGGCCTTCTTATCTTAAGTATGTATGAATGGAGAGACCTAACGCCGCATGTCCCAACAGCTCTCTCTCTCTAGGACACATTGCCTAAGTTTAGCATGGCCCTCCTTATCAAGATATGAATGGGGAATCCTAACGCCGCATGTCCATCATGCACTTCAAATGCTTTTTATCTCTAAACCTACTTTCTCTCTCTAAACCTAATTTTGTATATAAAGCATGGTCCTCCTCCTATATAAATAAATAAATTGGTGAACTCACTACACATTAACCAAACCAGCAGCTTGTTTGCTTTGTAATCTCCACAACAAAGAATCATGGAGAGCCTCCCTCTTCCTCTTGCATTTGCCCTGCTTCTCCTCGCGGTGAGTGCCCAAAATCCGCACTGTAGATTGTGAGTGTTATGTAACATGTATAATGGGCAATCCACTATTTGCTTACATATTTTGGTTCCTCATTGAGGTATGTCTTTTTTATTTTTATTTTTATTTTTTTTTGTGTTACTTGTTTAACGCTTTATTGATATAGAATGCTTTTCAAGGCCAGTCACCCCTTTTTGGTATTTGCGAACTGTGTATTCTATCAGTATAATGATTGTTTTCCCTTGTAGTAATATAGTTCTATACGGTGTTTGATTACTCGGACGACCTAGATTGGACTCGTATCTTAAGAAAAAAAAAAAAAATTCAAACAAATAAGACATTTATTTATAATATGTTTTTCTTAATGTTTTCTATCATTTTGGCAAAGATTAGAAAGTGTTTTTGGTCAAGAATACTTATAGTTACTATTTTCCTTTTTTTTAAATCATTTTCTAAAATACCCATGTTCACAAATTTATTTTTTTAAAATTTTCACTACTTTTTAACCTCATTTAGATGTGTTTTTTGCCATAAATTATTTCCTAACTTGGGCAAAGTCGATCATTCCAATACTAGTTTGATGAATTTTTTTCTCTTGTTATTATATAATGAGACCATTTACCTTTGATACAAGGAGGTCATAATTACTACTACCATCCGATGTGAAATCTAATAGCTAGGTCAAGAAAATTTCTTTTGAAGTTTGAGCTTAGTCAATGGAATAAGTGCAGCCATCAAATTTCACATTAGGGTATGTCACAAAGTTTGATGAAATTTCTTTTGAAGTTTGAGCTTGGTCAATGGAATAAGCTCAACCATCTAATTTTACATCCAATAGTCAAAATTAATTGTGATCACCTTGTACCAAAGCTAATTGATCTCACAGTATACTTTACCTTGTTTAAAATGGGATATTTTGAGTTGAACAACGATGTAACATGCCTTTCTGTGTATGTTATACCATTTACTTTCTTGTGTGTTAAAAGTTACTTGTTTTTATATGCTACATGTAGGGAAGGATGAGCCAGTACCACGTACTGGCGACACCCGAGAGGTATTGGGCACAGGCATTCCCCAACACTCTGATGCCTGACATCATTCGTGCACGCCTTCGCCCCCTGCCATCAGGACTACTACATGTGGGTTCAAGCAACCGAGACCCCCGATTCTTGTATTCAGACTTCACAAAGGAGCATCTGGATCCTAGAGAGACCACCCTCTTCTTAGAGGAGGACCTCAAAGTAGGAATGAACAAAATTTTCCACTTTCGCATGTCGGATTTCAATAATGCCTCTCCATTTCTTTCTCGTGAGGATGCAAGCACTACACCTTTCTCGACTGTTGAGTTCCCCCGGATCTTACACCGGTTCTCGTTGCCTCCTGTGTCTAGAGAGGCTCAAGAAGTGTGGGGAACCCTAACATGGTGTGAATCATTAGAAGCCAAGGCCAAGTGTCTAACTTCTTTAGAGGCCATGATTAACTATGCCAACTCCTCTACTATGGGCCATAACATTACTATGCTCCACACCATCATCAACAATGCTTCTGTGGTCCAAGCATACACTGTGAAGAAAGTGGAAAGAAAGGATACGAAGCCTAGCTCAGCAGTGTGCCATAACATGCCCTATCCCTTTGCTGTATATAGTTGCCACTATATTGGAGAGGGAAGAATCTACAAGGTGAGTCTGGAAGGGGAAGATGGGAGCATGGTAGAAGCGATTACGGCATGCCATCCAGATTCTCTGAACTGGATCCAATGCCCATATTGGTATCAATCGCTTCCCGCATATGCGAAGCCGGATCATCAAAATTATTCTTGCCATTTCTTACCTGATACCCACATTGTATGGGCTTCTACTTAAGTCCCATAATTTGAAGACGCAATCAAAATAATTCATCGTTGTCATAATAACTATGTATTCTTCCTTTATTATTGTTATCATAATAGCTATGTATGCAAGGCGTTTTGCGTATCCATGGCTGAGTGGTTTTACCCAACTTGGTTGTTAGTTTTCATCAGTATATGAAAGCACGACTCGCCCTCGGAATCTGGCCTAGGCCAGGCTGAGTGGCACGGATTATGGTGAGGCTAAAAAGCATTAAATAAAATAAAAAATAAGAAAAATCTCAAAAATATGAAAATTTTGTTTAAAGTAAAATTAAACAAAACACATAGAAATAATCCAAAAATTAGGAAAAATGTAAAAATAAGTATTCATGGCCAAAATACGTTTTAATTTTTCCTAAAATGATATAAAACACAAAATAAATAAATTTCTTATTTTTTGGATTTATATAATTTAATAAACTAAAATAAATCTCAAGCTTGATCACCAAACTTAGGATACTCAAGCAAGTTGGGTTAGCTCACCTGAGTGGTCGAAAACTCTTTTTCACTTTTTTTCATTCGTTTATTTTTTTGGGTGTTTTTTTTTGGGGGGGGGTAATTTAGTGGGGAAGACCGGCCCTACCCATTTTTCAAGCAGATTAGGAGTTAGCTTTTTGAAGGTGTTAGTATGGCGGTGTTAGTGATGAGAATGAAAACCACAACATGATGACTAAGGTATGGGGGTACTACCGCTGCAACCCCAGCCCCTTCCCAATTTTTCATGGGTGTTAATCGTGACAAACTAGATTCGAGCCCCTAAATGAGCCAGGCAAGACTCATTAAATACTCAAATGTGCTTTTCATTGAGATATGGTTGGTATTGAATGTGGAACTTATTTTATTGTCAAGTATAGAGAGGCTAAATTTGTATGAATACCCCATTTCAAATTGGCTGGAAGACTTTTTGATCTTTACAAAGAGAAACTCTATTTAGGTTTTCCACTATTTGTAGCAAAAAAACAAAAAAAAAGAGTCTCTCTTTGCGAAGCTTCAAAACGTCTTTGATCTGATTTGAAATTGGGTATTCATACAAATTTAGACTGCATGAGAACCTCAAAGTTGTCGCCTCTAAATGAATTTTCCATTTTAAGTATAATCTCATCATGAGGATTTTCATGCTATTGTTGTTATACATAACATGGCCAAACATTCATATATAATCATTTCATGAGGTTTTCACACTATTGTAGTTTCCTCTCATGACCAAATTGTCAAAAGCTATAGGGAGTTTCCGACTTAGATGCTCCTCAATCCCATCTATTAGGATTGAAGAATCCTCTTACATACAGAAATGGAAACACGAACCTCGAATATCAGAATCCCTCTAGGATTGTGCATTTAATGGGCTACGAATAAAATAAGCAAGTAAAAAGCATGATAGAAGCATGAGAACTGAGTCTTGGCAAATACAGGATACGGCTCCTGAGTGCTCCGGATCTCTTTGGAATTCTAATTTTGTCCTCCACCACCTATCTTTTGAAGTCTAGATGATGGAGGTCCTTAACCATGTTCTATTAGGCTAATGCTCATTATTTTTCTTTTGACACCATTTTGACTTAAGAAGAGGGAGGAGATGTTTAGAGAAAAAAGACGTTAGAGAAGAGACGGAAAGAAGAGATAACTTTTTTTCTTTTTTCTGCCCTGGGTTCTCTTTCGGGTGTTAAACCCGGCGGCCTTTTTTCCAACACTTTGGGTTCCTTTCGGATTTTCAGCCCAGTAAAAAAAAAATTTATTTTACTTTTCATTGCCCCGATGTCCCTTTCGGGTGTTCAGCTCGGTGTCATTTTTTCCAATGCTTGGGATTCTTTTTGGATTTTCAGCCCAGCAGAATTTAATTTTATTTTTATTTTTTATTTTTTTTTTTTTTCTAAAGAAGAAGAAGAAGATGACACATTCTGCAACATTTCTCAATCCCGCCTACTTCTAGTGAGGCTGATGAAGTGCACGAGACCCTTGTGAGGTGCAAGTCCTTGGAAGCCAAGGCCAAGTGCCTGACGTCTTCGGAGGCCATGATTGACTATGCCACCAATTCTGCAAAAAAAGCATATTTTTTCATCCAAAAAAGAAAAAGAACACAAATATTTTCGTGATTCATCCCAAAGAGGCTACATCTACAAGCATGGCAAATTGAAATTCATCACAGATGAGAGTTACATCACAGATTTGGATATATATAGCAGCCCTTTTAGACCAACGCTCCCAACCAACATCACCTAATGATTTTCTATCTCGATTCCATAACTAAACCACTATTCAGGAAGGGACCCTAACAGACGTTGTATTAAAGAAAAGAAAATACACGAGCAGGGGAGGAGGATAGTGTGGTGGAAGTTGTTGTAGCTCGCCAAGCTAACAGTTGGACTCGCATCCGCATTCGATCGCCCACCCTCTCCATGAGTGTGAAGACAGACAACAGTTCTGCTTTCCATTTCTTATCTTATATGTACTCACATTGCAAGAGCTTCATCTTAAAGTCTCTATGATTTGAGTAAAACATCAAAATAGCTCATCCTTTTCTTCCTCTTGCGGATTGCAGGATGATGATGAATAAATGGTTTTCAAAGTAAACTAGTATAGCTTACATAGCTATACTTAATATGGTTTATTGATAAATTTGTATTATTTGCCTCTTTTATATTCCCTGTGGTCTAGTTTGTTTCTCTCAGTCTTTAAGTGCAACAACCTTTGTTTATATGAGTCTTTAAGTGCAACAAACTTTAGGAATTGAAACTGCTTCACTTTGTCAGGAAAACAAAAATCACATTCGAAGACAGACTTCTAGACCTTTACCTTTTTTCCCTTTCTTGGGTAGTTTGTGAGGTTGGGATCTTCTACCTGTGATAGGAATAGAACTTAAGATATCAAGTGACCTGCGACCTTAACCACCTAGCCTTCTAAATCCATACTTGATGAAGGGAAAATATAGCATGATCAATTGGTTCGAAAGTGAAGAAATAGCTGGGTAGTTAGTCTAGCAGAGTACAACATGATGTCTACAGTTCCTACTGAGACCTGACATTAATAATAATCAAAAGAAGCAAAAAAAAGTGCCATGGTGAGGAAGGGAGAGATGGGTTGTACAATTCAAGAGATGTCATTACCAGCGGAACCCGAGCGCCACTATCACCATCCAACCGTTGATGAGAGGGTGATAATTTTTTTTCTTCTTTTTTTATGAGAGTTATTTATATTTGCATTTCTATAGTTGTTGGCTTTGTTCAATTTTTGTATGCATTTCATTTTATGAGAGGGTGATAATTTCTTCGTAGCCATACTGCTATAGTAACCATGTGGATCATATTGCCTTGAACCCTTTATTTATTTTCGAGCACCATTCTTCTTCATATACGTGCAATATTTCTTCTTTGAATTTAAATTGAAACATATTTTGTAATTGAAAAATTAAAGAAAATGTATCTTCATATATATGCTATTCTCCTCTTTATTTATATTTGCATTTCTGTAGTTGTTGGCTTTGTTCAATTTTGTATGCATTTCATTTTACTCTTGTTTACTGCCAATGTCCACTACTATGTTTATTAATGGACCTTGCTATATATATATTTAGAGTAGCCTTAGAATAAATAGGCCATTTTTCATTCCATCTCACATTTACAAAAGGATATTATAGAAAAATATCTCCGCACACCTTAATTTGGTGAATAATTTATCAATAAAGCCAGGTATATCTCGCAGCATTAAACTTTACAAAAACCTTTCTTCTAACCCCCTAAACCTTTTTAATTTTTTTTTATAACCTCTTACCGTTCCAATCAAATTGAAAAATAACAAACACACCCACTCTTTTGTCTCTCTCATTTTATTGTCCCTCTCCTCTCATTTCCCCCTCTCTCTCCACCTCCAACCTTGTTTCTCTCTCTCATGCCCTCTCTCCTCTAAATTTGTCTCCCACCCTCTCCCCCCATGCCCCAAACCCAAACCGCCATTCTCTCTCTTTCCCAATTTCTACTTTTCTGATCTTCTCGCTCTAAAATCACAAAATTCATAACCCAATATCTTCAAACAAGGATGTGACTCTCTCTCTCTCTCGTGCAATAGACATTTCTGAACGTCTCGAGCTTAATAAGTTGGTATTTTCATCATTTTCAAATTTATTTGGGACGGTAAAAGGTTATAAAAAAAAGGTCAAAAGGATTTAGGGGGTTAAAAGAAAGGTTTCTGGAAAGTTTACTGCTACCGGATATATCTCACATTTGAGTGTCTACTAAAAAAAACTATTTATCAAATTAGGGTATACAGAGATATTTCCCTTTAGCTTCATGTATCACGAATCAAATTTGATGTTACAATGGTTTAGGACAAAAATAATTGTGGACATCTTAAAATATAGAATTAAGGTATACCTCTGAAATCTTAGAAAAAGATTGTTTTAATGTTGGAAAAACATCTAATTATCCGTGATATAGTGGATTTCAATATTGCAGGGATGATAAAATTAGCATGAAGAATATTGACTGATCTTTCGTCCTTATTTGCTTGATTTTTTAAGCATCGTTACTTCAGGAATTCTTCCATATGAGAGACCAAATACAAAAAATACTCATCTTATGCTTGAAAGGATATTCGGTTTGGATTATCTCATCTAAAGTATAATGTTCAATGGGTTATTAGAGATGGTCGGCTTGTGGATTTCTGAGTAGGACCGTGGTTATCAAAAAAGTCAATGTGGGATTCTTTTGGTACGACTGTTCATCAAGACCTCAAGGTTGTTATGCCAAAGGTCTCTTATCATATTGAAGGTGTTGATCAATCTTGGGTTTTGCCCTTGCCTTCATCAGGTTATTTGGCACAAAGATGGAAGGAGGTTGAAAGCATTATCCTTCCACTACAACTACATAGAAATTTTCTGGTGTGGATACATTCTGCAAGCGGTTTGTTTTCACCGAGAGAAGGTTGTGAGTCTATTTGTAACAAAGGAACCTCCCAGCCGATATTCAAGACCATGTGATCAGCAAAATGTTACCCCCAAGTGAGATGGTTTCCTAGTTGAACCTCCATCATCGGTTACCTACTGTTTCTCTCTTGCGGTAGTGTGGGATTGCTAGGGCTCCTCCTTAATGTCCCTTTTGTAAAAATAGTGATGATAGCCCATGTCATCCTTTATTTATTTGGGATTTCTCACAGGCTATATGGAGATCAGTTGCATGGTTGTGCGGTAAGCATTTCATATCTGGAATTTCTATTCCTAATATGTTGAGAAATTGGTTAGCATTTAGATTCAGATCAAATGGTTTATTCAATATTTAGACTTCTTTATTCTTCACAACTATATGATTCTTATGGTCGAAACGCACCAAAGGGTTTTCCGGGATAAGTTGACTAGAAGGGAACAATTGGTTACACAGATAATATCTCATGTTCAGGAGTTAGCTAATGGTAAATCCTATTCATTTCATTTGTCAGAAAGAGCAATCATTGATAACTTACAATTCAAATGGTATCAACAGAGAGATAAAATTATTATTCCAATGGCATGATCATTTTCTAGCCTTAATCACTTCAAGCTAAACATTGATAAGGCTTCCTTGCATAAGCCAGGCTAAGCAGGCGGAATGGTGTTATTAGGAATTCTGATGGTGCTTTTATTACAGTGTTTGTCAACCTTTTGAAATCGCTTCTAATAATTATGTGGAATTTTTCACTCTTGAAGAATGATTGATCCTAGCTTATCAGTTACCGTGCTACCCTATTCAGATTGAAAGTGATTCAGCATTACTCTCTAATGTTATTTATGAACGCTTCCAACCTTTATGGAAATATAGAGTTGCAACAAATAGTCGACGTCTTTTTAATTGTAGGTGATCCATCTCCCACATTTTTCGTGAAGCTAAAATAGTAGTTGGTATTTATACAAATAGGGCTACATCTCCATCTGGAAGCTACGGTTTAGTATTCTCGTCCATTGAATTTTATTTACCTTGCCCTAACTCATTATTTATACTTGCTCTAAGGTTGTAAGGTAGTAAAATGAATTTTATTTACCTTGCTTTAACTCATTATTTGGTACAGGTACTTGCTCTAAGGTTGTAAGGTAGTAAAGTATGAACGGTAGACTTTCTATTTTTAACTCTTAACAAAAAAATCAGGTAAAAGGCCTTTTCCCCATTGACTTACCCCCAAAAAAAAAAAAAAATCAAGATATAAAAATATGGCAAAACAAAAAAAAAAAAAAAAAAAAGAACAAACTCGCTTATTTTTAAGCCCAATCCTGAAAGACTATGAAGTGGTCGCACGTACGGATCCTCTTTTTTTTGGAAAGGGCGGACAATTTCCACTTTAAGTGGTCTTAATCACACGTACGGATCCTCTTTTTTGGGAAAGGGCGGACAATTTCCTCTTTAAGCTTATTTTTTAACCCTCGTATATACAGCTCGATAATCACCTCACTCAAGTCTTCTATAAAAAAAATAAAAAGTAAATTAAAATTGACCATAATGATTAATTCTTCATTTCACTTATTTAATAATAAGAGTAATATGTTTACATGCAGAGGTTGGTTTGGAATGATTTTACATCATCATCTTAGTTATGTTTTTGTTAATCGGATGGGTTACTCCGTTTCCCAAACCAAAAGTTGAGATTGTCCCTTGCAACTATTAGACATGCACTTTCAGACAATTAAAAGGGTTCATTTCAATCGACTGTTTGAACTTAGATCTGTTATATACTTTCTGGGAAAGTAACAGTCTACTAATATACACACCCCCAACCACCGTTTATCATCGAGAACGTATGGTGGAGTTGCCCGATACCCAGCTCAAAAATCCATTATTATCCATAGAGTTCTGGATCATCTCCACTGTCCCCAACAACAGACACAGGATAGCCGGTATGCGCACTGGTACTATTCTATACAGAATAATTTCCATGATACTAAGCAAAATAAAGAATGGTTATAAAGAGAGAAGTAAAGAAGATTCTAATTGAGAGCTGGTATCAGCACTTAGAAAAGGAAAGCTCCATTGATGCACTTATGAACCCCTCAGAATCCTTTACACAGACCTGAATAGCCATAATATAACTTACCATGAGTTACAGTACAAGAAGTTATATTGAAGAGTTTCAAAAACCATTAGTGGACCCAAAAAACTAAAAATACCATTTATGCAGTCTGTATTCACAAACCAATCCAATCCCTTCTTGTTCAACTGCTGGAATTTGCCAATGAAGCAAAAGCTCAGGCACAGCAGGAAAAAGAACCAAAGAAAAGCACCTTCTCTATATCTGTCCCATGAATCACCAATTTGTGGGAACTAACCCAAACATGGCACAAGAACCAGCTCAGGTATCACACTACCCCAGAAGGAAGCCTCAACACAAGTTGGCCACCTACAACACTGTCAAAAGAAACAAATCAGTTTTAAAGGTTCAGACTCATAAGATATCTCAAGTATAAAGGCCATCAGTATGTAGACATATATTTGATATTTGCTCCCAATGAAATACCTTTTCACGTAATAGTAGCAGAAATCAGCAAGGATGAAGGTCTGTACGATTTCGGCTAGGAGGACCATGGATGGCCATAACCCAGAGCCCAAAGCCACTAACAGGTGGCCACGAGTGTCCAAAACCTATTAAAAATAACCAATTTATCAAACTACAGTATCTTAAAATCTTATCAAATTTTAGACAGAAATTGACTGAGGAAAGGAAAAAAAAATCATTTGATTTTGCATATGAATATTTTGGTGGGCAATCTCAATAAGGCAAGTAAGGGTCTCCAAGCAGCGCTACAGGAATGGTAGATTATGTTTTGCATTATGCTAGAAGAAAAGAAAGCACAAGGGTTCCAATAAGCTGCCCAGCTGCTAATTATCAAGTAAGACTCCAAGTAAGCAATATTTCAACTACAATAACATGGCATCAAAACTGACAGAATCCAAGGGACAGTACGTCAAATTTCTCTTAGGATATGGTAAATGATAGATACTCTTGAACAAGTATACAAGTTCACTTACTTGGGCACTTAATAAGCTGAAAAAATAAAACTCAGAGACTTCATTTTTTCTTCTTTTTTTGTGAAGAGATTTTCGATGTAACACGTAAACCAGTGCCACATCATCTCCCCTGGCATATATAAACATAATGTTTATATAGTTATGTTGGCAATCAAAGTCCTTTCAGAAGTATCAGGACAATCCAGAAAATAGATGAGTTATTTCATGAGCTGATTTTGTATTATGAACATGTTTACATGTTATCCTCAAACAACTTGAGCCACTTGTCAGCTACATTGCATCAATGTAACTGCTGTAGGGATTAGAGAAGGATGAGAAGAAAATATCCAACCAATCCAGCAATAAGAGTCAAGAATATACTTAATCAAACAAAATAGATTTATTATGAGTCTTTCCAAACCTGAAGAACCCAATGAGCACAACTCAAAAATCTCGCAACTCCAAGTGCAAACACATAATGAGCCGTGAATGGTTCAACAATCTGAAAGCATCATAAAAAAAAAAATCAGGAAATCTTAGTAAAAATAAGGATAAGGGAAAGATGCATAACCCCCTCTTTATAATCATAATTCCAAATAAACCCTTTGGTCCAGGGAAAGCCTATGGGCCCCCACAAAATTAAAAGAAAAATATGTTTAACCCCCTCCCTACCTTTTCACATATTCAAAAGAAAAAGAGAAAAAAAAAAAACCTCCCTACCTTTTCTATTGTCCAAATTACAATATTTATCCTTTTTCGTTTTTATAATGACCCCTTCATCCAAATGGAATTTGGGATGCTAGGTTTAAGCTACTTGTGAGGTTCACAAGATATATGAGCGAGCAAGAGAGAGAGAGAGAGATGTGGGTTCAAGGGAGGTTCAGATAAAGAGGGAGGGAGGAGTTCACAGGTGATGAAAAGAGAGGGGGGAAGTGAGGTTCACAAGATATGTATGTGTGTGTGTGTGAGAGAGAGAGAGAGATGTGGGTGCAAGGGAGGTTCATATAGAGAGGGAGGGAGGGAGGAGTCCACAGGTGATGAAAAGAGATGGGGGAGCTGCTACTTCTGAGGTTCACAAGATATGTGTGAGAGAGAGAGAGAGATGTGGGTTCAAGGGAGGTTCAGATAGAGAGGGAGGGAGGGAGGGAGGAAGGAGGGAGGAGTTCACAGGGGATGAAAAGAGAGAGAGGGGGAGCTTTTCTAAGATTTTGATGATCAGGTCATTAGGAAAAAAGCAGAAGGATTAATATTGTCATTTGGACTATGAAAAGGTAGGGAGGGGTCAAATGTCCTTTTCTTTCAACATGGAAGGAGTCTATGGGCTTGTCATGAAGAATGGTAACAGAAACAATAATAACAACCAATGATGTTAACACCGGACTGAACTGACTAGTTTGGACTAGGAACCCCCTAGAATGTTGGCCATTTCCATCCGTCCAAACCACCAGACAGACATGGCCACCGAACGGTTGAACAAGCAGGTCTGATCAAGGGACCAGCCGGACTGGTTGAACCTGCCCGACTGAAATGGCCAGAAAAGGTCAAAAAACAGCCATTTTCTTTGACTTTGAGTGGGAATTCATCATTTTGGGGGATGGGGGGTTCCATTCCTTACAAACTTCTTAGGGGAATTACAGTCTTTTTTTATATTAGGGATGGTTTGGTGGTGTCAAAAAGTGGATTTTTGGAGAAACAGAAGCGGCCTCTCCCTCCCTACCTCTCTCCCTCTCTATCTCTCTCTCACACACACAACACACCTGAAAACCCATTTTCTGGAAATTTGGCAACTTTCAGGAAGATTCCAGCCACCAATCCACCCTATTACAAGCCCTGAGTGAGTTTATTACACTATTTTCTTGTTTTGTTAGTTTTACTTTTAGAAAAATAGAAAACAATTGGACTTTCAGGGTTCATATTCAATTTAATTGTTCTTCTGCTTTAATAAGTGTATTCTCCTAGGTTTCTTCTTATTTGGTAGCATACATGCATTTTGTAATATGAATATAGCGTTTCTTTTAATGTTTTTGTTTTTCATTTGGTTTTTTATTATTTTGATTCCTTTTTTATTTTGTTCTTTAACACTGCAATAGAACTATGGAGAATGTCAAGAGATGAAAAATGTTCCATATTTAGTTTTTTATTCTATATGAAAAATTATTTTTTTATACAATTCTATAATTTTATTTTTCTTTCCAATAATTTTCTGAAATTTTAACATTTTTCTAGATCTTTTCTAGGATTTCGCTTTTTATTTTTCATTTTTTGTATTTTCCCTTTTTTATTTTAAAATTCTTTCACCGCAAAGAGGTCCGATTCGAACTAAGACAAACTGATGCCCTCATCGGTTCAACTTCCAGTCTAGTCTTAACAACATTGGTAACAACAACAACAAGAAGAACAAGAAGGATACTTTGGTATGGCTGTCTTGACCATTAAAAGAAACTCCACTATTTCTATATCTAGCTAGTGCGGGAACACCACAAAATAGGCCTTAATTATGAAGGAAAATTAGGAAATAGGTTTTTCCATATGATGAAATAGTATTATGTGAAATTTATCAAAAAGTAAATCAAGATCTTAACCATTTCTTTTCATTTAAACCAAAAAAGGCCATCAAAATGGCACATAATCACAAGTTAATAGTTGATAGTTTAGCTGTATTTTGATAAATGCGTGAAATGTTGAATATTTGATATTTTAGATGTGCTTTGATAAATTTCTGTAGTAGTATTACGACTAGTAGAGTTTCCCTTTTGATGATCCAGACAAATTGGCCCTTGGCCACTAGGGCTATTGGCAATCCACTCAAAACTATGAAAACAAAGGGTGGCATAACCAAAATCATTTCCCTTTGATGATCCAGAGAAATTGGCCCTTAGCCACTAGGGCTATTGGCAATCCACTCAAAACTATGAGAACAAAGGGTGGCATAACCAAAATCCCGCCAGTATTGCCACCCATCCCTCATGTAGCAGGATCAAGACATCGAGTGGATTACTAAAAAATAGGTGGTAAAACCAGCCCTCTTATGATGATGATGAGGACGATGATAAAGTAGTGGTGGTGGTGGCAGTGGTGGTGGTTGTCGTCGTCGTTATGATTATTATTAAAGTAAGGGGAAAATGAGACTTGTGTTTGTACCTTGGTATTTTGCATCACACGCAATTGGGGAAGCACAGAAACAGATTCAAGATACACGCAAAAGGCCCACAAAATTCTGTTCACAATGTTATGTTGTGTCGACGGATGAATTGCTAGAGCCAGTACAGCACAAGGAGCCACCTACATCATTATCAACAATTAGAAGCCATACAAATATATATGTACCAATTCGATGAAATATAGTAACAAAATAGGTATATTTCTGTAGTATTTAACCACCTACAAGCTATCACAATACAGGGACATCTAACGTGGCATGAGCATAACCAAGAAGAGCACCCTGCTCTTTCTTGAAACCATGCCTTTCATAAGGGCATGAACTTTTTGGGAGTGGAAGATCCCAGTGCCACCAGTCAACCCTCACCATGTTTATTGCTAGGGCGTGGAAGCCGAAAAAATGGGAGGGCGGCCACATCTCCCTCTTAAAAGTGAGTCATTTTTGGTAGACGCAGCTTCCATGCCACATCTATCACAAAAGTGGAAAAGGGTGTCTACCACAACCTATTCCACTATTTCCAAACACATCATAAGAGCTTCCATAAGATATCTAGAGTTTCGAATACTACGAAATTTTGCTATAGTGAATACCAAGCATTTGATATCATTTAAATAAACCAGAAGATCTATAATCATTATCATTACAAAGTTCTGAGGAACTTCAAGCTAAATGCTAGAACATCAAAGTTAAATGAAAATGCCCTAAGAAACATACACGTGTGTGTGAGTGAGAGAGAGAGAGAGAGAGAGATCAGAAATAACAATCAACCCTGACACTTTTTTTTTTTTTTTTTGTGTGGGTGGATCAGTGAGCATTACAGGCCCCTGCCTGTTTTACAAGTAATCAATGGTTTTCAAATGTATCAGTGGGAATGCAAACCTAGACTTCTAGCTAAGGCTTATGTGGTGCTCCACCACGACCGCATCCCGATTCCCATCAACCCCTGAAACTTGCCTACAAAATGTTGACAGGCATTTACTTAAATTACATATGGGAGATTAAAAAACCTTTCATATCCATAGACCTAAAACACTTCAAATTTATGACAGATATCAGCAGCCAGGGCACAAGCACACATAAATTTGCATGGCTTAACCATTGATTCTTTTTTAAAGATCCCATACTACACTAAGAGCATAGTCGCCACTTTCTCTCAGTCATATGCATTAAAAAACTTAAAAAGAGTTTTACAGGGATTCCCTTATGGTAATTCATATGATGTAATAACTACATTGAGGCATACTCCATTTCCTCAATCAAATTTTTTTCATAAAGTGAGAAACAAAAACAATCCAAGCCGCAGTGCTGAGGAAAACATTATTCCATGGAAAACCTCCATTGACTACTCAAAAGTCATTGGTTTCACCTGGTCATTTGAGTCAGATGGTATCATAAGTAGATCAATGCCAATGGGAAACAATACATTGAAACCAAAAACCAGTACAGAAAATGAAAAACTAAAGGGAGAGTAATTTTACCAAAAAGAAAAGTCAAGGGGAAAGTATACAATTACCCACTTTTGTCAAAGAAGAAAGTCTATTATAGTCTCATGGGCTATCAGATGCATAGTTCAATAGGTACATCACTGTCAAATGAAATGATGGGCGGTGATGGAATGAAAATGGAATAGGCTATTGGGTCATGTTTTCTTTGGTGCATCCCATTCTCTTTCCATCATTGTATTCAATGTTGATGACTGTCATGGATCAAGGTTTTCAATAGCCCATTGAACTAATGCAAACTTTCTCAAATACAAATGGAATATGGTGAGACTTACCACATAATACAGAGGAAAGTTGTCTTTGTCATCCATGTAACTGGACTTAAGTTTGAAACGGATCATATAAATAACCCATAAGGTTGTAAGGAGTGTAGCTGAATCAAGTAGTGTGTGTATATCATATTCCATAACAAAGCTGCAGTACAATCGAACTGCTAGAAACATAGCTGTTAATTCCTGAGATTTAAGAGAAAGTCCTGCACGTTGTACATACAAATGAAATATAAGATAAACAAACAGGAAAAGAAATCGAAATATAATCAGTCTCAACACATTATACATGCAGATATATATAGCGAAACAACATGCCAACAGAAAGATATATGAAATAAAATGCAATCAAATAACTATGACAAACCAATTGAACATGCTGTGTTAGTAACTGGAAGTGATAATTAATACATAAAATAACTGTTTTGCAGTTTCCAGTTTTTCCTCAGTGGTTTTTACAAGGCTGATGGTCCTTGAGAAAATTCAAAGGTCTAACGTACCAAGATTTGATTTCATTGGGGTTTCAACCTCTTGGCTTAGTAGTAAGGGCACCATACTAGTATCATTAAGTTATGAGATGATGAAAAAACTTTGTTTAAAATATCTGCATTTGACAGGAACAGATTGAAGGAATAGATGATCAGGGTGGTGGGGTGCCATGCCACAACATGACATCTTGATTACCATTCCTACCATGACAAAGAAAGGGTTCCCCCCCCAATCTACCCAAAAAATTAAAAATATATATATTTAAAACAAAATAAAATAAAACTATCTGCATTTGACATTTGGGTAACCCAGAACCTTAGAAAACAGGCAGCTGCACTGAAAAATTATGTAAAAATACCAGGCAGCCACCTGGAACGAACAATTGTTGTTGTTGTGATGATGAACTCGCCCATGGTATCGTGCTTCAAGTCTTGAACTACAAGGCAGAAATGGTACAGAAAAGGATACACGAATACAATAAACAAGCACAAAAGCTCATGAATTGCCCAGTTGTAGCTGTACCAAAAAGATGCAGTTTCTCAATTTAATCTTGTGTATAATTTGATAGCTCAAGCGTATATTACTAAATCACAGTTTTCTTCCTCATAAATCAACTTATAAACTTTGTTAACTAGTTACAACTAAGAGAATTAGAAACTTAAAACTTATGTTCGGAGTATTTTAAAGAGTTTGACTTGATAACAGTGTCTCAAAAAGTGCTAGGCGGGTTCTAGGCGGCCTGGGGGGTCCAGGCCTGGGGGGTCCAGGCCGCCCAACGCCTAGGCAAGCGCCCAGGCGGGCACTCAGAACCTGGGCGGCCCAGTCGAATCCAAAAAGGATGCCCCTTTGAATAAAAAAAGGATATATAGTATAAAAATAAAAATTAAGTATTTAGGGCACTTACTTTGAGTTTGATTGCTCAATCTTCAAACTTCCACCTCAAAGATGCTTCTAACAACTCAAAATCTTCTAAAAAATCCCCCAATAGATTTATAAAACATCAAAAATTAAATCTAATATCAATGGGTGATGCTTTGATCAATTTTTGTCAACTTTGTGAAACCCTTCGATCCTCAAGAAATCACCAAAAACTAGTTTTGTAAAGGCTCTCTCTCTAAGATGGGCTCCAATAAGTTTTAGGTTTCAAATGAACTTAAAACCATCATTCTAACCCTTTATATTTAAAAAAAAAAATTCCCCCCTTGGATGGGACGCCCTCCTCGACGGATTCCATACCGCCTACCACCTAGGCGAGACGCAGGCCCTGGGCAGTTGCCCTGGGCTAGGCGTTGGGCGCCCGCCTAGGCGAGTTCCGTACCGCCTAGGCGGCCGCCCAGGGACTGCCGCCCAGATTGGCCGCCTAGGCCTGGGTGATGCGCCCAAGCCTTCTGGACCTCCTAGGCGCTAGGCGGTCCGCTTTTTGAATCACTGCTTGGTAATAGCCGAGTAACAGTTTGATTATCATGTACCACTTTATTTCTTAAAAGGATTAAATCCTTTCCTGTTAATGCCACTATTGAGGAAAAAATATGCATTCTCGTGATTTGTATCCAAAGGAAAATATAAATAAATAAAGAATAAAAGATTTGTTTGGATTATGGAATTGCGAAGCATAATTTTTTCAGTTTTAGCTGGATTCGTCCTTCCAATTCGATGAGTATGAGTAAGGGATCCATGGACGAAGATACAAAAATCTATTTCTAATTATAACTAAATCTTCAATTTTTGTAAAAGAGAGATTGAAGCCAAATAGCTATTCAATGATGACTTTAGTTTACTAGGGGCATCGGCATGTAGTTTCGGCTTGGTGGAAATAAAATCTTTTCGCTCGATGAGAAAATGAAATGAACCCCTGCTCCCATCATCTCTTCCAAATTGCTGTCCCAATATCTTCTTTCCATTTCTACCCACACTTCCTTTTTTTTTCAAGAATGAGGTACCCTGAAATCTGAAATATAAAATTGTTCCTACGGAACCTTCTACCTGGGATGGACCGTTGATACATGGTCCAAGCTATTCACTCCTTTCTATTCCTTATTAAATTGAAATTAAATTAAATTCATTATCAAACGACTGTATAATTTGTAACTGTAAAATATAATATAGATAAATTAATGAATCCACTCTTATGAATCATTAAATCCCATAGAATGATTGTTCTGATGTATTATGAAAATTCTTTGGGATGCAGGAACCACAAAATTTTCTGTGGTAGAACAAAATATCTCTCATCTTCCCATCGAATAGATTCTTCTTTTTTATTTCCAAATAAATGTTGTTGTGTTCCCTGGAGTAGTGAATGAATCCTTTGAATCCGGTACCAACAGGTATCATCCCCCCCAGAACAACATTCTCTTTCAGACCTTTCAACCAATCAATATGACTTCGGAGAGCGGCTTTCGCTAAAACCCGAGTGCTTTCTTGAAAACTCGCTTCTGATATGAAGCTTTGAGTATTCAAAGATGCCCTCGTCATTCCCAATAGAATAGCTCTGTAACAAATATCTTCTTCCAAAGCACAACCGATTCTTTCTGCTCACAACAATCCGACTAGTTCTCTGGGTGAGAAAACATTAGACATTCCACCTTCTGAAACCAAGACTTTTGATGTTATTTGTCATACAATAGTTTCTATATGATGTTACTGCATGGATCAAGATTATAAATCCTTCTATTTTCATCCATTAAATAAGATTTAGGTACTAGGAAAGTCTCTCTTGAATTGTCAAGTAGTAAATATTTATTTAACAAGATCTCATTATGAGTTATTGAATGATAAGATGAGGAAAAATTCAAAATGTTAAGTACAGTCGCTAACAGACCCAACGAATTCCTAATTGAAATCATGGGATCCTCAAGAATTGATTCTTTTGCCACATTGTGATATTTCGAACCATTGAGTGGACCAATTCGAGAACAATTGGATGATGACAAAACCATAAGAGATTCACCCTGGCCTTCCTTATTTCTATTCAACAATGTACAAATAGTTCCTTGATGTTGGCTAGGGGACCGTTTGGATACCTGGAAATATATTGTCTGTGAAATATATTACTGGTGTAATACATTACCTGCAAATGGATTGTTACTGTTTGGGTAGTATTTAGATGCAACCTGGGAAATACATTGCTACTGTTTGGCTATGTCTAGAAGAATTATGGGAAAGGCATTACCAACATTTTATCAACACTTGCCTATAAACTATCATTTCTTTCTTTTTTGTCACAAAATTCTACTGAAATGCAGAATTAAAGTCATCATCACACCATTCCAAAAATATTTTCTAATAATAACATCATCACCACTCCAAAAAGATTTTTTAATAATAACTTGTACCATTCTAAAGTCATCATCACACAATTTCCTACTTATGTTGCATGCCTTTGGCAGTTACATGGATTTCATGTCTTCTACCATGATTAGACTTTGGTTTCAACATGATAAGTCATTGGAATAATATGATTGGAATAGCATATTTTTATTATGATAAGCCTTATTTTTCTTTATTTTTTATATAAGTCTTTCAAATGTCTCTATATAATTTCAAATAAGCAATAAATTTATGATACCAAATTCAAAATCTTTATAGTACAAGTTAAAAAATGGGAAGAAGTTTGATTAGTAAACTAGAAGGTTTTGTAATTACAGTAGAAAATTTTGAGGCATTGGAGGAGACTTAAGAGGTAGGGCTTATCCACACCAAAATAACTAGTTAAAGAAAGAGAGAGCACCTTATGCACACCAGTTATTAGGGCTCAAGAGAGAGGGGGGGCAGGCTTAGAGAGGGAGGGAGCACCTTATGCAAATCAGTTATTAGGGCTAAAGAGAGAGGGGGCGGGCTTAGAGAGGGAGGGAGCACCTATGCAAACTAGTTATTATGGCTCAAGAAAGGAGAGAGTAGGGCTTACCAGTGAAGAGAGAAGCGTGGCTTTGGTAAGTTCCTCAGATGAGTTTGAGAGAGGGAAAATGGCGGGTTCGCATTTTTTTAAACGGGGGATAGGGCAGAGAGAGACACACGAGAAAGATTTCTCAAATATGAGAAGAGAGAGAGTAGGGCTTACCAGTGAAGAGAGAAGCATGGCTTTGGTAAGTTCCTCAGACGAGTTTGAGAGAGGGAAAATGGCGGGTTGGCATTTTTTTAAACGGAGGATAGAGCAGAGAGAGACGCGCACGAAAGATTTTCCAAAGATTACCTGTCAAGGAGCATAATAAATTTTTCACCCCTCACCGTGCATAATCAGTTTCGTGATTTTTCGGAAAATCTCAGGTAATCTCTTTCCATTTCCTTACGAATAAAGTGCACCCAAACAATGGAAATGTCATATTTCCTTGTAATCTATTGTTATGTAATAGATTTCCAGGTACCCAAACGACCCCTAAGTGATTGAGTCTTCGCCTTGGAAAAAAAGGATTGGTATTGATGCAATCTGATCCATTATTAGGAATCAATCCTGAACCCGCCATATCATTCTCTTTTCCAGTAGACGAAATAGGGGACTTGACCAAATCAATTGTTATAAAATTTCGAATCAGATCATTTACCCTCACTTCAGCGAGGGAAGTATAAGCCTCTTCTTCGTCTATAGAACCATCCCAGTCTTGATCCCAATTCAATACTAAGCAAGTCCGAACTAATTTAATGCTTGTGTGAAAAATTCCTTGAATTGGTTTGCTATCTCCATAAAGAATATAATTGACAACACTAGTAGTTGCAAATT